TTTTTCGACCTATTTTCGTATGCAACCGGATGTGACGTACTATGATTTGGTGGTTTTACACCTAAAGAAGACTTTTTTGTTCAATAAACTGAATGTGACTTTTTTCCTTTGTAATACTGGTTATTTCAAGCATTACTGTCAAGTTTTGTCATAATCAGTTCAATAGTTTGAAAAAAATCTAGTATAATGTAAGACAACATCTACAGCGATTCGAGCAAAATTTCTTCGAAAAATCCAAACCAAGTCGCATCATGATAGAATATAGTGTGGACCAATAAATGGTCAAAAATTTATCTCATCTGCCTACAAACAGTTGAATATGATACAAAAGATGACTTTAGGATGATAAATGCTACTAATGGACCTCTTTGTCTTCTTTATAAGGTCTCTTTTGGTCCATTTATACCTCTCATTTCCTCAAAATTTCTACTTTTTAGGCCAATAAATAAAAATTTTGGGGTAACTTTCACTCATTTATGATAGAAATGTTATAATAAATGATTAATTGAAGTATTCAAGCTGAATGAACTATCCGTATAAAAGTTTACTGTCTCCAAGGAGGTTTCAATAAGTCCTTACGTAAAACTTAAATTAACGCCGCGTTCCAGAGAGGGACATAAAAAGCTTCTCTTTTGGTGAATAATTTGTTGTTACTGCTTTAAAAATAATTTCATTTACTTAAAACTATATATTTATTAAAGTATTTCTTAGGAAAATTTTTTTAGTATAGCAGAATATAAGAAATAAGGAGAAAAAGCTCCCCAAAACTCTAAGTATGGTTTGTTCTGTCAACTAATATTCATGGTAAAGTCCTATTTCAAGGAAATTTTCTCATAAAATGTGTTTTGGAGACTCAATCCACTCAGAATATTTCATTATTTGTAATATTTCACTTAAATAGCAAGAAATTTTAACACATGAGAGTACTCACAAGGTCAAAGGTGCATGTACAGCTTCCCATATTAGGTGTAATACCACCATTGATTTTCCCCTATTAGTCTTTGTTAAATTTGCACTTTTCAAAAAATTGTGCAGAATTTATCTTTATTTCAAATAAAGAAATACTTGGCATGAGTAAAGTTTTATCCTGTCCAGTACTATAGAAAAAATTTCACAATACATTTCATTGCATATAAGAAAATAACCATCACTGGAAGTTAACCAATCAAATTTTCCCCCTTTTTTAACCTGTGTACAAGCTTTAGTAACCATGTAACCTCAAGTTTCCAAAATATTTTATAGAAACCCCAAATAAAAAAATAATGGTGCTTTGAAATACCCAAGATATATGTTTATGACCCAGAAATGTTTTACTGCAATGACATTTAGGATCAATTACCTACAACTGTCAAATTCAAGGGAATATTTTTTTTCGACCTATTTTCGTATGCAACCGGATGTGACGTACTATGATTTGGTGGTATTACACCTGTAGCTAGGCTAAATTTCTGTCTCTATCCAATATACCTTTATTTTCCCGTGGCAATCCAATTTTCCCCGCCCTTCATCCCGGACGACCTCTATTACAGAACCTACTTATTGTATTTATTAATTTGTTCTCGTCCTGAACATGTATGAAATATTTGTCAATGGACGTTTAGCAACAATCAATCATGACTCGATCTTAAATTTTCAAGATTAAATTTATTTGAGGTACCAATTACATAAAGAAGAAAAGGAAAACACCGGACTTTCACCGTTATTGTCAGTTTTATTTGCATGATTGTGGCCATTCAAAGTAACAAGAAGCTTTCCTGAATAATGGTACTAGCATGTATTAATTATAGGTCTTAAAGCAAAATTGTTTAATCTGAACACATGTCTTTCTGCCTGTCTGAGGTTTATTGACAATTGCTTAAAGATAATCAGATAGTAATCCACTATACCAAACTTATCATTTAAGTCTTAACAAGAACCCCAAAGGTGACTGGGGAATAGAGATATGGTCACTAAGGTCTTCTACCTTCCGGCAGTACAACCCTTACATTACAATGTTTTTGGGGTTGCCTATCCGAAGCATAGTTGTTGATCCCATGTAACATGTCTTCGTTTTTGAGGTTTTCAACATCCCGAATACCCCGTCCTGCATACCAGTCGAAAGATTTTTAAATTTGTTTTAAAATTGTGCTCTATGTTGTCCTTTTAATTAAATCAACTAGTTACTGTCGTCGACTGTAATGTTATTTTGTATCTCGTGGATGAAGTGCAATATAACCAGACATTTAAATGAAGGCGTCTTTAATTGTGGATTTCGAAGTATAAGGTGAAGCATGAACTTAATAAGTGTTAAAAAATACGCGTTTTCTATTGGCTTATATGCAAATTTTGGTTAAATTACGAAATAAAATATCCTCAATCCACGAAAATTGGTACCCACGAAAATAAATAATCCACAGTTTTCATTGAAATGATACATGAAGATACATTTCTATCTCAATCGCTTCTAGAAGTTGAACTTGTTTTAATGTAACTAATATTTTTCCCGGTTTTAAAATGTTTAAAAGAAACGAACTCAATCTAAAATTTTGAAGTTTAATATATTTGAGGTATAAACTACATAAAAAGGAAGAAGACAAAGAGGACTTTCACTGTTATTGTCAGTTTAATTTGTGACCATTTAAATCAACGATACGCTTTCTGGAAGAAAATAATGGTATGCACTATAGGACAAAAGCAAAATTGTTTAATCTGAACACATGTATTTGTGCCTGTCGGAGTCTTATCGGTCGTTTTTTTTTTTGTCAAATGTCATTGTATTGTTTTCATTTGGGGAGGACAAATACACATCTACTTAATTCATACTTATATTATTCATTTTAAATGGAGATAATCAGAAAGTTATCCACTATACCAAAATTATCATTTAAGTCTGCTGCCTTCATCTTAACAAGAAGCCCAAGGGTGACTGGGGAATAGAGATATGGTTACTAAGGTCTTCTTCCTACCGGCAGTACAACCCCACAATGTAGCGTCATGTTGGCTTTGGGGAATGTACAATTTCGAAGCCACGTCCAGTCAGGAAGATGACGTTTAATCCGATGCCTCATGTCTAGAGACTTCAATGCTCTCTGCACGTTAAGACCCCTTGCAAAAAATCTATAAAGGGATCGAAGGTGGCCTGTAGTAAGGCAAAATGTCTGTATCTAATATACACTCATTTCCCAGTGGCAGTCAACAATCCCCCGACCTACATCCCAAACGGCCTCTAATACAGGACCTACCGATTGTATTTATTTTTGAATTGGTGTACTGAACATGCATGACATATTTGCCACTGGACATTTTGCAAACAATAACCAATCAATACCAATCGTGTACAAGACTAGAATCCCGCTGTATGCATATATATATTTTACCGTTATGACTTTCGTATCCAATTACTTTACGATGAAGGCTTTTAGCGAGGTGGTATTACAAAAAAGTAAAAATAAGATATTTTCACATAATTGCTAAATCTTAGTTGTGTAAAATGTCTAACATTTATAATTGAATATGCTCTCGGACCAATTGCATAATCAACCTGTAACAGGTGTATACACAATTAAATTATATGTAACTTTTGTTAACTTGTTGGATTCCTCAATGTGAACCGTTTTGATATACACATTTCCAATCATTAAATAATAGAATTGACAAAATATGAAACTATGTCTATGTAAAACTCTTGAATTATTGTCAAAATGTAAAATAGACAGTCTTTTCAACAGAAATGGTTTAAGTTAGAGAATTAGTAGTGCATTCAACTACTTCTTATAAATTCTGTAATACTGTCATAATGGGCCAAATTTATTAGGTATGAGGGCAATCAATTAAAGTTGTTTTCAACTTGACTATTTTTCTGATTGCCATCTCAAAAAGAAAAAAATATCCTGGTCTAACTGGTACTTTAAAGTATTTCTGATTTTCTTATTAAGGATATCAAAAATTAAAAATTACCTGATCTGTCTGGTACATTTAAATTAACACACAATTCTGCATGTTCTTTTGTATCAATATCCGCTTCTGATAGCATCGTAGACATAAGTTTGTTAATTTCGGAACGAAGTTCATGAACATTACATAGGACCTGCTTTGCTATTTCTGCATACATGTTGAGGTCATCGATGGAAATAGCTTTAATTCGGATATTCATGTCTGGTGTTCCGGTTAATCTGAATTCATCTATAGCTTCAAAAACTTTTGTTTTATCCCATGAAGTCGGAATGTCAAGTTGCATGAAAACCGGTATAAGGATTCTCTTGTTGTCTGAAACATCAGAATAAAAACTAATCAATAATTTTCTATATATCGTGTTGATTTACAAAGATCACAAGACATTGACAGAATCTAATAGAATATTTGATATTCATAGTGTAGCACTTAATTCGAAATAATACATAATTTAAAATATTGAAATAAAATATTCTTCGTTAGAATGCATACCTTCCGTTACTAGTTCAGTATCATCAAATATTTCCACATTCTCCTCACTACCAAATATGTTGACCATTACATTTATCTTGTTAACTATACTATGAAGAGTTTCTTAAAAAAAAAGGTAATTATGATATTCAATAATAACGCGGTTGGTGTTTTGGTATTTACGCGTTCAAAATGCCGAAACAATACAGCAATGACAAATGAATATATGATAATATTCATGTCAATTGAAGAGGCTGCCTACTGGTCTGGCGATATCCTCAGAGACTAAACGTCCAACAGCAGTGGCATCATCACAGTGGTTGCAAAAACTCACCAAAGATACCAGGCTTATAATTGTGTTCGCTAGACGCGCATTTCCTGTCATCAAATTAAGAAATAAACACATTGATAAACTTAAAAAATGTGATATAGTTTGGTATGAATAAAATAATTAATTGGTTTATCTGTTGGTTGTATATCGTACAGTGGCAAATATATTATACATGTTCAGGATGAGAACAAATAAACGATGTATATATCTGAATTATTTGTATTTAAAATGTACATGTAAGACTACCGGGGTGAACGACACAATACAATTTTAAATTTGTAAAGATTTTATTTACAACCTACACATCCGTAAAGAGAATGTCTGTATTTCGAATAATTGTCTTAAACAATTTATATGTGGTTTTGAAAGATGTGATGATATATAACTTGCATTATAATTTTTTTCTCCAACTATCAAACCCCAAATTGACGTGAATCAAAGAACAACATGTCTTTGTAACATTTCTCTAAATTTCAATATAAAGTTGATGTGTTGTCACAACATGTCTTTGTAACATTTCTCTAATTTTCAATTTAAAGTTGAATTGTTGTCACACATACAAAAAAAAAGATGTTAATCACAAAAAACATGAACATAATAAATTGTTAATATTGTCCTTACTTTGAATACAGAATACAACTGTACAGATCATGACAATCAGTAATTGATAGTATAGAAAATAAAAATAAAGAGAAGTTATTTTGAATGACAAAATGCACAAACAGACCCGAGTCCGAATAAACTCATTGTCTGAAAGAATTATTCATGTTTATTTATGTTGATTTCCTTTTCACGTCAAAAAGAAAAACCTTTCCGTTATAATAATTACAAACAAGCAGAATATTTTCTTTTTTGTCAAAATAAATTCCCCACGGCCCATTCAATCCATCTGATTTAGTAAGAAGTTCTCTGTGATGTTTACCATCATCTGATATAACTTCTACAGTGTTGGTCTTATAATTAGTCACATAGACATTCCTCTCATTATCTGTTGTCACATAAACTAAATCCTGAAATTTATCCTTTTTAAACTTCCAAATTGGTTTTCCATCTAACGAGCAGCAGTATATTGATGTATCGTCTATACAAACCAACCTGTCTCTGTCTACTGTAATGTCGGTGATACGGGCTGGAGGTAAAGGTATAGTACGTATTACTTTACCTGTCAGGTCCATCACATGTATTATAGTCCTATCAATAACAACGTACAGGTTATTATCATTATATGATATTCCGTAGCAGTAACCACTGGTGTTGATTGTACTGGTGACAGAACCTGTAGATATATTTATTATCAGTATGGTTCTGTTATATACACAGGATACTGCTACAGTGTTACTATCTATCTGTGTCATATAACGTGGTGTATAGTACAGAGGAATGTGATGGATATCAGTACCGTCTGAATTACAAATAATAAGTCGGTTATTAGTGTAGTCGGTAAACATTAATGTATTGTCTATTTTGATACAGCTAGTAATGTACAGATTTTCTTTCTCAGACTTTTTGATAGTTAACTGTTGACGTAAATTGACAGAAACAGGAAGGTTGGCTTTGACTAATGCTTGATCCTTATCGAATGCTTCTTCTTTTTCCGGTTAATTTTCTGAAACAAATAATCAAGTATTGATTTGGTTATTTCAACAATCGATTACCTTATTTATAATGCAGTTTACAAAAATTTACCACTAAAAGCGATAAAAAGATGTTAAAAAAATATTTTGCATACTATATTATGTATTATTGAATTTTCAACGACCTCAAATTTTCTCTCCAATGTTTACGATTTATTTGAATAATTGTCACTTTGAACTCGTATAATTCAAGAAAATCGTAAAACAGTGAAAATGAAAAGTGTAATATGACAGAGATTGAAAAACAGATATATGTAGAGCATAGTCATGTACTGGATGTACCAATGCAGTGAAGTAATATATGTGTTTGAATCACGGAAAAAAGGGGGGGGGGGTTCTTTCTATATGAAGATTCACAGACATTTCGCTAGGATACGTGCCCATTTGATATATATCACATATATCAGTGGGGTTGCAATTCCACCAACTGAAGGTAAATTGTAAATGAGTCGGTAAATTTTATCCTTCGATTAATTATCTGTACATATGTGTTTCCGCTTTTAAATCAAATTAAGATATATATAAAAAAAAAAATGTAACTAAGAAATATATGAACGGGTAATAAATTTGTCATGAAATAAGTTCATGGGTCTTGATTTTTACAACATTTCAATATATGAAGGGGTTGAAACACCAGCTGCGCTACACGTCTGTACCAACAATCTACTTTTGAGACCCCCATCCACTCTCCGTGGTCCTTACTACCTTGAACTTTATATAGCATATGTTGTTTTTGAAAAGAAAACGACCATCCAAATTTAATGGGTAAAAATGAATAAAGTAGAAACACATTGACGGTGTTGGCTAGTAGAGCTTTTTTTTTTTTACAATAGGAATTTTAAATTGTCACTTTACAATACTTGCATTTCAAAGGTATTCTTAAAATAAAATTGAGAATGGAAATGGGGAATGTGTCAAAGAGACAACAACCCGACCATAGAGCAGACAACAGCCGAAGGCCACCAATGGGTCTTCAATGCAGCGAGAAACTCCCGCACCCGGAGGCGTCCTTCAGCTGGCCCCTAAACAAATATGTATACTAGTTCAGTGATAATGGACGTCATACTAAACTCCAAATTACACAAGAAACTAAAATTAAAAATGATACAAGACTAACAAAGGCCAGAGGCTCCTGACTTGGGACAGGCGCAAAAATGCTTTGTTTTCGTCTTGAAAATGACTGACATACTTGCCACTGAACGTAAAGCAAACAACAATTATCCAATCGATCTTTTATGAGCTTAGTCAGGAAACATGTATCTGCGGATTGTGGTTGCTGATGTTTAAAATAACTTCATGAATAAAACTGTATTTTTTACTATAGGGGAAGATATAAATATAAGACAAATCTTAGCACATGATGTGTTTTGGTTACAAAAATATCTGGTATGGAGCAAGTTTTGCAAGGGAATCTCAATCAAACCACGTTAGATTAATCCGTACAAATCTCTAAAAACCAAGTTTTCACCTCGAGGGTTTTATTGCAGTTCTCTGGGATGTATAAATACGCATTCACATCAGTTCAGAATTTGGACGTTGAATATGATGTAAGGCGTCTTACAGCTTTACATTACACTGTTTTTGGGTTGCCTACCCGAAGCTAAATTGTTGACCCTGTGTAACATGTCTTCGGTTTTGAGGTTGTCAAATTCCCGAATACCCCGTCCTTCATACCTGTTCTGAATGAAATTTGTTCCAAAATTGTGCTCTTTGTGGTCTTTTTTCATTTAAATCAATCAATCGTTGTCACCGACTGTAATTTTAGTTGGTAACTCATAGATGAAATGTAATATAACAAAGACTTTTCGATGAAAATGTTTTGTATTGGTTTATATGCAAATTTTGGTTAAACCACGAAATCAAATATCATAAAACAACGAAAATTGGTAGCCACAGAAAAAAATAATCCACAGTATTCAGTATGACTCCCCCCTCCTCCAAGGGAGACAGGAATAGAAATATGGTCAACATTGGTCATCCTCCGACAGGCAGTAAAACCCCCGCTAAAGTGTGTGGCGTCCTTTTGGCTGTGTGGGATGTATCAAGTACGCAGCCACGTCTGGTCAGAATGGGGACGTTAAATCCAATGCCTCGTGTAAAGAGAGTGCCAAGCTCTTTGCACGTTAAAAACCCTTGCAACAACTTTTTGAGCGGTCCGTATGTGCCCTTTTGCAAGGCTAAATTTCTGTTCCTATCCAGTATACTAGTACCCTCATTTTCCAGTGGCAGTCCAAATTTCTCCGTCCATCATCCTGGACGACCTCTATTACAGGACCTACCTAATGTTTTTATTGTTAATTTGTTCTCGTCCTGAACATGTATGAAATATTTGCCACTTGACGTTGAGCAACCAACAATCAATCATTATCACACAATCTTAAATGTTTAAGATTAAATTTATTTGAGGTCCAAATACATAAAAAAGGGAAAAAAACAGGACTTTCACTGTTATTTTTGTTTGTGACCATTCAAACCAGTAATATGCTTTCCTGTATAATGGTACTAATATGTATTTTAGGTCTGAGGCAAAATTGTTTAATCTGAACACATGTCTTTATATCTGTCTGTCTGAGGCCATGAGCCTAAGCTTGTCATTCGTTGTTTTTTGTCAAGTTTTAATGTACATTTTTATTCATTTGGGGAATTTGGTATAGGTTGCTGATCTTTGAGGGTCTTTGTTGAATTGTTGAAATTCAGAGACTTTATTTAGTCAAATTATGGGCTTCTGAAAGTGTAATTTGATAAAAGCCGTACGCGTATTATTACCAAGTTATATTTGTTTGTCATTGGGTCGCTGTTTCATTGCCATATAAACCACATCTACTTAATTCTCACTTGTGTTATTCAATTTGAATAGAGGTAAAGAAAAAGTTATCCACTATACCAAACTTACCATATTTTAAGTCTGCTGCCTTCATCTTAAGAAGAACCACAAAGAGTGACTGGGAAAGAGGGATATGATCTTCTACCTACCGGCAGTACAATCCTTGGCAAAGTGGAGCGTCATTTTGGCTATGCGGGATGTACGCAGCCACGTCCACTCAAAATTGGGACTTTAAATGCGATGCCTCATGTCGAGTGACTGTCATACTCTCTGCACGTTATGAACCCTTGCAAAAACTATTTGAGGGGTTCGAAGGTGGCCTGTTGTAAGGCAAAATTTTTGTTCGTATCTTATGAATACTCATTTCCCATTTGCAGTCAGAATTCTCTTGAACTTCATGCCAAATGGCCTCTATTACATGACCTACCTAGTGTATTTATTATTAAATTGTCCTGAACATGCACGAAAAATTTGCCACTGGACATTAATCAACCAACAATTAGTAAATCAACTTTCCCCTAGGAAGTTAGAATCTTTGTAATTTAGGAAAAAAAATGTCTTAAATCATATCAATACCGAATCACTTCCTCCTCATCTGAGTAATAAAACAATACTATCTACAACACTGATATCAACCCAGTGCAGTTGAATAAAAGTAATGCTTTACAAATAACTTTTGACTGAAGTGCGTACCTTTATTTCCATTCATGATAAAGCATATAAGAAATGTACTGATTACTTAGAAATATAGGTGGGATGTATAAATACGAATCCACGTCATTTCAGAATTGGGACGTTGAATATGATGTAGGGTAATGACATGTTTACTATAGCTTTACTTTTCAATGTTGTTGGGGTTGCCTATCCGAGGCAAAAATGTTGACCCTATGTAACAAGTCTTAGTTTTTGAGGTTGTCAAAATCCCCAATACCCCGTCCTTCATACCAAATCCCCAATATCCCGTCCTTCATACCATTCAAATTTGTGTTGTTTATTTTAATCAATCAATCGTTGTCTCCGACTGTAATGTTATTTGGTAAATCATAGATGAAATGTAATATAACAAGACTTTGAGATGAAGATGTTTTCTATTGGTTTGTAGTAAGTTTTGGTTAAACCACGAAATCGAACATCCTAAATCCACGAAAATAGGTACCTACTAAAATATATAGTCTACAGTATTCATTATGACACCCCCCTCAAAGGGTGACTGAGGAATAGAAACATGGTCACCATTGGTCTTCCTCCGACAGGCAGTAAATCCCTCGCCAATTGGAGCGTCCGTTTGACTGTGCGGGATGTATAAAGTACGTTCTCACGTCCGGTCAGAATGAGGACATTAAATCCGATGCCTCGTGTAAAGAGAGTGCCAAGCTCTTTGCACGTTAAGAACCCTTGCAACAACTCTTTGAGGGGTCCGTATTCAATATATTCTCATTTTCCAGTAACACCCCAAATTTCCCCGACCTTCATCCCGGGCAACCTCTATTACAGGACCTACCTTATGTATTTTTTTGCAAATTTATTCTCGTCCTGAACATGTATGCAATATTTGCCACTGGACGTTAAGCAATTAACAATCAATCTAAAATGTTCATGATTAAATTGATTTGAAGGACAAATTACATAAAAAAGAAAAGGAAAATCAGGACTTCCACTGTTATTTTTTTTGTGTGACCATTTAAACCAACAATAAGCTCTCCGGAATAATTGTACTAGAATGTATTATAGGTTTAAAGCAAAATTGTTTAATCTGAAGACATGTATTTATGTCTGTCTGAGGTTACGAGCCTTAGGTTGTCAGTCGTTGTTTTTTGTCAAATCTCATTGTATTTTTTTCATTTGGGGAATTTGGTATAGGTTGCTCATCCTTGAAAGTCTTTGCTGAATTGTTTGAATTCGGAGACTTTATTCAGTCAAATTTTGGGCTTATGACAGTGTAATTTGAAGAAAGCCGTACGCGTATTATTACCAAGTAATATGTGTGTGTCATTGGGTCGCTGTCTCATTGACAGATACACCACATCTACTTAATTCTTACTGTTATTAATCATTTTGAATAAAGATAATCAGAAAGTGTTCCTATATACCAAACTTATCATTTAAGTCTGCTGCCTTCATCTTAACAATAACCACAAGGGTGGGAGAATCGAGATAATGTCACTAAGGTCTTTAACCTACCAGCAGTACAACCCTTGGCAAATTGGGGCGTGGTGTACAAGTACTCAGCCACGTCCACTCAGGAAGGGACGTTTAATCCGATGCCTATGTAGAGAAACTGTCATGCGCTCTCTGAACGGTAAGACCCCTTGCAAAAAATCACTAAATGGTCCGAAGGTGGCCTGTTCTAAGGCAAAATGTATGTCAGTATCTAATATACACTACACTCATTTCCCTTTGGCAGTCAAAATTCCCCCGACCTGCATCCCAAATGGCCTCTATTACAGGACCTACCTATTGTATTTATTATTACATTATCCTGAACATACACGAAATAGTTGCCACTGGACATTAAGCAAACAACAATCAATCAATCAACTATGCCAAAGGAATCTTTTTAATTTAAGAAAAAAAAAGTCTTATAAATCATCTCGATACCGAAAAAACTCCTGCTCAGCTGGAGAACTACACAGTACTCTCTGCAACACTGGTAAAAACTTAGTGTAGGTAAATAACAATAACACTTTACAAATGTCTTATGTCTGAAGTACTTATCTTTATTTCTGGTATAAACCCAGTGTAGGTAAATAACAATAACACTTTACAAATGTCTTATGTCTGAAGTACTTATCTTTATTTCTGGTATAAACCTAGTGTAGGTCAATACAAATAACACTTTACAAATGTCTTATGTCTGAAGTACTTATCTTTATTTCTGGTATAAACCCAGTGTAGGTAAATAACAATAACACTTTACAAATGTCTTGTGTCTGAAGTACTTATCTTTATTTCTGGTATAAACCTAGTGTAGGTAAATAACACTTTACAAATGTCTTGTATAAACCCAGTGTAGGTCAAAAACAATAACACTTTACAAATGTCTTGTGTCTGAAGTACTTATCTTTATTTCTGGTATAAACCCAGTGTAGGTAAATAACAATAACACTTTACAAATGTCTTATGTCTGAAGTACTTATCTTTATTTCTGGTATAAACCTAGTGTAGGTAAATACAAATAACACTTTACAAATGTCTTATGTCTGAAGTACTTATCTTTATTTCTGGTATAAACCCAGTGTAGGTAAATAACAATAACACTTTACAAATGTCTTGTGTCTGAAGTACTTATCTTTATTTCTGGTATAAACCTAGTGTAGGTAAATAACACTTTACAAATGTCTTGTATATACCAGGGTAGGTCAAAAACAATAACACTTTACAAATGTCTTGTGTCTGAAGTACTTATCTTTATTTCTGGTATAAATCTAGTGTAGGTAAATAACAATAACACTTTACAAATGTCTTGTGTCTGAAGTACTTATCTTTATTTCTGGTATAAACCTAGTGTAGGTAAATAACAATAACTCTTTACAAATGTCTTGTGTCTGAAGTACTTATCTTTATTTCTGGTATAAATCTAGTGTAGGTAAATAACAATAACACTTTACAAATGTCTTGTGTCTGAAGTACTTATCTTTATTTCTGGTATAAACCTAGTGTAGGTAAATAACAATAACACTTTACAAATGTCTTGTGTCTGAAGTACCTATCTTTATTTCTGGTATAAACCTAGTGTAGGTAAATAACAATAACACTTTACAAATGTCTTGTGTCTGAAGTACTTATCTTTATTTCCATTCATAATAAATCATATAAAAAATGGACTGATAACTAAGAAATATATGAAAGGGTCGTGATTTTTGAAAGACTTCAATATTTGAATGGGGGTGGATTTGAAATACCAGCTGCGCTGCACGTCTGTACCCACAATCCCATGTTAAGACTCCCTTGGTCCTTACTACCTTTAACCTTGTTTAGCATATGTTGTTTTTGTAAAGAAAACAACCATCCGAAATTAATGGGTCGAAATGAATTAAGCAGAAAAACACCGACGATGTTGGCTAGTAGAGCGTTTTTTTTTTTTTAAATTGGAATTTTAAATTGTCTCACTTTACAGTACTTGCATTTTAAATGTATTCTTAATTTGTAATCGTCTTGAAAATGAATAAAATATGTCATTGAACGTGAAGCATACAACAATTAATCAATTTATCTGTTATGATCTTACCAGTTAGAAAACATGTCTCTGAGGATTGTGGTGGCAGATGTTTTGTTTCATTAAAAATATTCTTCATGAATAAAACCTATTTTTTTCTGATAGGGGGAAAATGAATATTATAATTATGCACATCTTAGTACATGATATCATTCGAGACCCAACTAACCACAATAGAGAAATCGGTACAAATCTCTCTGTTTAAGAGCCAAGGTTTCACCTCCAAGGGTTTTCACGTAGTTCTGTGTGATGCTTAAATACGCATCCACGTCAGTTCAGAATTAGGACGTCGAATATGATGTAGGATAATGACATGCTTTATGTAGTTTTCCATTACAACGTTTTCATAGTGTTACCTATCCGAAACAAAATTGTTGGCCCTATGTAATGTCTTCGTTTTTGAGGTTGTCAAAATCCCGAATACCCCGTCCTTCATACCAGTCGAAGACAATTAAATTTGTTCCAAAGTTGTGCTCTATGTGGTGCTTTTAATTAAATCATTCAATCGTTGTCGCCGACTGTATTAGGTAACTAATAGATAAAATGCAATATAACCAGACTTTTAGATGAAGGCGTCTTCAATTGTGGATTTCGAAGTATGAGGTGAAGCATCAATTCAAATGTTCAACGAAATACACGTTTTCTATTGGCTTTTATGCAAATTTTGGTGTAACCACGAAATCTAATTACATCAATCCATGAAAATTGGTACCCCCGAAAGAAAAACAAAATCTACAGTATTCATTGAAATGATACATTTAGATACAATTCTATCTCAATCGCTTCTAGAAGTTGAATGATTTTCATTGTAACTAACAGTTTTCCTGTTTTTAAAATGTTGAAAAAGAAGGTCTCAATCTAAAATTTTAAAGATTAAACATAATTTGAGGTACAAATTGCAAAAACAAGAAAGGGAAACAGGACATTCACTGTTATTCCAAGTTTTATTTTGGACAATTTAAACGAACAATATGCTTTCCGGAAAGATAATGGTTTGTTCTATGGGAGTAAAGCATAATGTTTAAATCTGAACACATGTCTTTGTGCCTGTCTGAGGTCACGAGCCTTGTCAGTCGTTTGGCGAATCTCATTGTATTTTTATATGGGGAATTTGGTATAGATTGCTGATCCTTGAAAGTGTTTTTTGAAATTGAAGAGTTTATTCCGTCACAAAGTTTTGGCTTCTGAAAGTGTAATGTGTTGAAAATTGTACGCGTATTAGTATTACGTAACATTTGTTTTGTCATTGGGTCGCTTTTTCATTGACGAATGTACCACATCTGCTGCCTTCATCTTAACAAAAAATCACGAGGGTGACCGTATAACAGAAATATGGCTACTTAGGTCTTCTCTTCCGACCAACAATACAACCATTTTCACACTTGAGCGTTAGTTTGGCTGTTCAGGATGTACAAGTACGCAGCCACGTCTGTGGACGTTAAATCCGATGCCTCGTGTAGAGAGACGACTGCTACGCTTTCTGCACGATGAGACCCCTTGTAATGACTCTTTGAGGGTTTAGTAGGTAGCCTGTTTTAAGGCAAAATGTCTTTTCCTTTCTTATATACACTCTTTTCCCAGTGGCAGTCCAAAATTCATCAACCTTCATCCTAGACGGCCTCTTATAACAGACCTACGTATTATTGTTTAATTATTTTCATCCTGAACTAGCATCAAATATTAGAATATAAAGTGCACTGCATTTACATGTAATATAGGTTCTAGAAATATAAAACCGGTTAAGAAATACAGATGCAAAAGGAAAATATGTAAACAATGATATTACTTGGGTTATGGTCTTCCTTCTTAGTGCTTATTTTCGCTCTGTTAGGAATCCTTTTAACCTGAAAAAAATATAAAATAAAAAACAACATAATTTTAATGTAGCTACACAGTACATAATGTTCTACTGAACATAAAACACATATGATAATCGAATTACGAAGCTAATTAAGATGGTTTTACAAAATATAACCTGGAGATAATGTAAAAGATCTACATTTCAACTTGTAGCATTACTTTCGATCTTAAGAGTTTCTGTTTTAGAGATCAGTCAGTAGTCATTAATCCGTCACCGATCAGTCAATTTGACATCATCAATCCGTCAAACTTATAATGACTGATCGGTGTTAACGTATTGAACTCTATTTATTACTACCACTGGATCGATACATCTGCTGATGGACTTTTTGAATATCCAAAACCCAGCAGCCTATACTTTGATACTTGCATGAAAATATGAATATTGTTTTTATTTAAATTGCTCATATAAAATTTTGAAATCATTTTGAATTAAGGAATGTACCTCCCTCTTGCATAGCTCTGATTACTTTCCCGGGCTTGGCTTCACTATTGGTCTTTTGGATTTTCAAATTGTTTGGGCTCAAGTATCAGTGACATGAATGTCGAAATGCAGTTAAACTGTTGCCGTTAGTGTTACTACCACTGGATCAATACTTCTGCTGGGAGACAAGGGTATCATTTGCCCAGTACTGACATGGAAATACGGACATTGTTTTATTGAAATTGCTGTTAAACAATTTCGAAATCATATTGACATCATTTTATATTAAGGAATGTACTATCATTTGCAAAAAGCTCCTTGTTATGGTTTGGCTGTACGTTTGGGGCTTTTTGGTTTTATCAGCTATTTGTATCTGAATACGTATGAACTGTGGGTTACAATACGATATTCCAGGGCTTGTATTTCCTATCATGATTTCCTAGATAGAGGGTTGCTGCTCACACGGAAGCTATTAAACCAAAAGTTTCAAGTTGTTTGACCGTTATGGAATATCCGTTTCACAGATGATCGCGGATATGTTCCTAATGTCGTAGCTACAATCCCGTCCCCTATTTCCCGAATGTGACCTACCGAATTATACTTCTTACCGGGTTTGTAGTAAGATGAACAACACGTCGGGTGCCACAAGTGGAGCATGATCTGCTTACCCTTCCGGAGCACCTGAGGTCACCCACAATTTTTGGTGGGGTTCGTGTTGCTCAGTCTTTAGTTTTCTATGTTGTGTTTTGTGTTCTATTGTTTGTCCGTCTTTTTCTTCTTTTGCCATGAGGTTGTCAGTTTATTTTCCGACTTATGAGTTTGAATGTTCTCTGGTATCTTTCGTCTCTCTTTCCACACTCTGAATAATGTTTACCTTTGTCTCAACATATTCTTAACATTCTGAATGTGTCTCCATATGTCCTAGTTTGTGTATCATTACAAACACGTTATATACATTTATTGCGTCCGAAGCATTTTTCTGGATTTACCTTTATCCGGAACGCTCAAAGCAAAATATTTGAAAGCCAAGGATTTATAACCGAAACAATTGAAACATTTTTCTGTGTTGACATCTGCCATTTTTGGGTTGTAAAATCATCTTACCAAGTCGGGAATATGACAGTAGTTTTCCATTCGTTAGATGTGTTTGAGCTTTTGATTTTGCTATTTTATAAAGGACTTCGTTTTGAATTTCTCCTTGTGTTCGGTATTTTTGTTATTTTACTTTTTACAATTTAAAGACTACTGACTTTTAATAAAAACCAAATAACATACTGGTCCAACAATTTTTTGTAACTCAACGCTGTATTTAAATTTTCAATGGAAACTTTTTTTTCATCTTCAATTTGAAAATTGTTTTTTTATTCAATAATTTTATAATTAAACAATTTGTTTTTAATCAATTATAATTATTTTGAATTATCTGAATTTAAAAAAAAAGGATACATATATATATTTACATGATATATTTACTTGACATGTTTGTAATGGTCATGTTAATATAGATTTAGACTAGGTAATACTCAGAATGTTAGCATTGTTTATATAAAAATAAGGAAATGAGGTATGATTGCCAATGAGACAACTATCCACCAAAGTTCAAATAAAGTGGCCCCCAAGGGTGACTGGGGAATAGAAGTATGGTCACCATTGGTCTTCCTCCGACCGGCAGTAAAACCCGTGCTAAAGTGGGGCGTCCGTTTGGCTGTGCGGGATGTACAAATTTGCAGCCACGTCCGGTCAGAATGGGGACGTTAAATCCGATGCCTCGTGTAAAGAAAGTGCCACGCTCTATGCACGTTAAGAACCCTTGCAACAACTCTTTGAGGGGTCCGTAGGTGACCTGTTGCAAGGCTAAATTTCTGTCCCTATCCAATATACCCTCATTTCCCGTGGCAGTCTAAATTTCTCCGACCTTAATCCCTTAATCTATTACAGAACCTACCTATTGTATTTATTGTGAACTTGTTCTCGTCCTGAATATGCATGAAATATTTGCCACTGGACGTTAAGCAACCAACAATCAATCAATCAATCAATCAAATAAAGTGGATGTAAGCAATTAAAAGCAACCGTACGGCCTTCAACATTGAGAAAAAACCCATACCGTAAAGTCGGCTATAAAAGGCCCCGACATGAAAATATAAAACAATTCAATTGAGAGAACTAACGGCCTAATTTATAAGAAAACAATTTACGAAAAACAGATATGACAGACACGAAACAACGACAACCACTAAACTAGAGGCTCCTGACTTGGGACAAGCACATGAAGAATATGGCGGGAATAAACATGTTTGTGAGCACTAAACCCCCCTCCCCCCTTTCTTTTTTACCTAGGACAGAGGTGTAACATCACAACATAAGAACAAACTATAAAAATCAGTTGAAAAAAGTTTAACTCATCAGACAGATAAAAAGCGGAAAAAAACATCAAAAACATCAAACATAAACACAGACCGGACGTGGCATGGTATTTATTCATCCCTCATCCCTAACAACAAAAAAGATACTAATTACAGATCTCAGAGTACTCGCAGATTCTGGTAGCTAGTTCAAAGCCAATGACTAATACATGAAAATCATGTATCTGAGACTAAAATATCAATCAGTACACATCCAACATTTAATGGATTTAGTGTAAAGACGTCAGGTTAATATCAGAGTTAACATTATCCTTTTGTGGTAATTAAGATAGTAGGTCAAAGACAGAGGGTAGATTATAATTATTAATTGGAGTTTAGATTCAAAATAACCAATAACAAACAAAAAAAAACAAAACAAATGTGGACAAAAAACAATTGAAAATAAAAACAAATTGTTTATTTATTCATCAAATCATGCAATGTTTAAGATGGAAAAGCTTTATTATTAGTATAATAAATAATAAAAAAGAATATTGGGATTTGTTTTTACCATTCAAGATTTACAACCATGACATTAAAATTTGTTTGTTATTTCAAATTTCATATTTGTATTTTTTGATCAGTGCAAATACAAATAAAACAAGACGACGATTTGTATTGAATTCTTGAATTCAAATTAGAGCAAAAGTTATAATAATTTTCCATATTTGATACAGACAATGCTAATTAGGTTTCGCTTATCATGCTTATTTGACTTTAACATATTAAAGTGAACTCGTGAAAGTTCACTGGAAAAAGAGAGGCGGAAGATTGTGTACTACCGACAGTTATATGCGTATCCAGAGTTAAGACAATCACACTGAGTAAAGACTGTTAAGAATGTGTTGAGAAATATCCAGACTGTGTTAATTAAGACTGTTGAGGAATACAAGTGACAATCTTATCAATTCATAAAGATGCTGTTTAAAAAACATACCTCATTCTTTATCCATGGCGAGTATATCTTTTCAGATCGATGTGATTTCTTGTGCTGAAGACAAAAACACTCTTGGTCTCTTGTCAATTTATCATATGCAAATGTATCTTTGTAATAATGACCATCACTGCATTTGAAATGGAGTTTTAAAGATATTTTCATTCTGTACCTCTCTTTTATGTCTTCAATAAGTTGTGTTACTTCACTGTAGATATCGCTACACGTGCTTCCAAATCCCTCCTGTTCGGAAAACGACACAATTTGAAGAGCAATTGTATCAGTCGACACGGTAACTAGAATCTTTTTACAACCAGATCCGTCAATGTCAAACATACAGATGCCACGGTATAAAGCAATACCACTAAATAATTTGCTAGGATCATAGTTTCTGATAAACCAGGCAGATAGATGGTTAAGAAAGAAGGTGGAAGAAATTCAAATTTAAAACAAAGCCATGAAGTCCTTTTGCATTTTCCTGTACTAATGCCAAATGTTTTGCATACATCCTCGAACTTGGCTGACGGCATCATGCTTGGCATTATATAATTTGAGTTTTCAGTTTTGACCAATATATCAAGCTTTTCCATAACTTTATGTAAATTATTTGTCTGTCCTGAAAACTGACTATCTTTTGATTTGAGGAGTTCTGCAATTAACGATTTACTTATATTGCCTTGTTGTGTAAACAGTGTCCAGTCATCACGGTGGTGCAATCTGCTGTTATCAAACCTATCTGAGACTAAACATCGGAAAGCATCTGCTAACCACTGCGGATTTAAAATGATCAAATCTCGTATATTTTCAAAGAAAATAATATTCCCTTCATGATGCTGAAATCGTAGAAACAACAACAATTCGTTCTCTTTTCGTAAATTGATATCATGATGTTTTGCCAGTTTGAACATGTCAGTAAAATTAATGAATTTTTTTCCTTCTTTCTTATTAATATCAATTAAATGTTCTAAAAGAATCCATTTTAACGGAAAGGCTTTACCCCAATTATTCATTGTTCCTGCTGTCTCGTAAATAGCGAATCGCAGCTTTTCAAATTCTTCGTCAGTATCCATTATATTTGACAGATAAAACTTGTTGTGCAAGTGATGATGTTTGCTTTGATTGCCCAAAACTTTGTCTATTTGATCATTTAATTCCTTCTTTCTCTTCTTAAAATCTGCCTACAGAAGATAAACCAAGTTTGTCATGTTTGATACTTTAAATGTAACGATATTGAGAGGACTTCAAAAGATGATAAACTTCCAATATACATTACCTGTATCCCAATGTTTCACTACCTGTGATGACAATTCTAAAGGACTTTAATTGGTCCTCTATAGTTGACTATACGGAGTTGGTTTGGGTTTGAAATTAAGGTCGGATGAAGACCCCTATGTTTTTATTTTTTCTGTTGCTTGGTCTTTATGGCGAGATGACTTGGATTTAGAAAAAAAGGAGTCGACTAGTAAAATTTACATCAAAGAAACTAAGCTACAATATTTTACGGTCGTCGTGCGTTTTGGTCTACGAAAGACTCATCAGTGACGCTCATATTCAAAACATCAATGCAAAAGATTATTAGTTGTGTTTTAACGCCACTGTCCAGGGTTATGGGAGGGTTGATTTCTAATAACTTGTTAACATCAATGTGTCAGTGGTTGTCGTTTGTTTCTGTGTATCCTATTTGTTTTTCGTTCATTATTTTTTACATAAATTATGCCGTTTGTTTTCTTATTTGAATTGTTTTACATTTGTCATTTCGAGGCCTTTTATAGCTGACTATGCGGTATGAGTTTTGCTCATTGTTGAAGGCCGTACGATGACCTATGGTTGTAAATTTCTGTGTCAAGTGGTCTCTTGATTAGGGTTGTCTCTTATTTTTAAGGTACCTGTCCAAAGTAATCCAATTGTCGGGGTTGATGTTTTTCATGATTGTCTTCCATTATTGTTGTATTTTAAATTATGCCTTTGACTTTCTCTTTTGAATGATTTTGTATTTTGTTATTATGCACTTTTGTAATTATTCACTTTTGTTTTATGTCGTATTTTATCGATATTGACAAATAAGCCACATCTCCTTATTTCTATGATAACGTTACGATTAAGAACGGATACTTATAAGTCAAGCCTTTTAAAAAAGTCGGATATAAGTGAAAAACAATGTTCTACAATTTTATTACCTCGTTATATTTATCTTTTCCAGTAAAAACTAATAAAATCGGAGGATCGAAATATCCATAGCTAGCTGGTTCGTCGGTCGTTCGATGGCAATGGATAGAATCAAACCAAAATTCAACATACTCTGAAACATATCATAACTGTTAAATAGGTAATATTTAAAGACTTTCTAAAATAATTTAAACACAGGGAATGATTATCTCTTACACACCTTGTTAACTAAGTATGATACTAAAGAAAAAAAAATACCAATTTTGTATAAGAATATATGTATTTTTTTTTAAATTGTTTAGTACATATGTAGCTCTTTCCAGCTTTATAAACGATTATGTTTTGAACATCCATTTCGTAAAACTAAGGACTTAAGTTGACACATATGTAGTCAAATTGAAGGTTGATCTTTTAAATACTTAAATAAATCAATTGTGTTCTTACAGCAATTAGAAATTTTATACATTTTATCGTACGATAATAAAAATAAAAACAAATCTGTAATTATATTAACTATTCTGCTACTTCATTAACGCCACAATATGATAGGTTGTAAATTAGTAAAAAGAAAGAGGTTGCTAAAATTAGTATACATGAGGTTGTTTTGATGTTTTATTCACGTATAACATGTATAATCTACAACTCTTTGAATGCATTGCAAACCCATTTGTCTTTTAAAAACGTTCTGGTCGTTCGAACCATGAAAAAAAGTGTAAGATACTGATATATATTCATTGAAACTAAAACAACATAAAAACTGACGTTTTCGGTTTGTTTTTCATCGACCAATTATTCCGACCAGAAAACTGATGTCGTGAAACTGTTCTCATAAATATATATTCAAATTGTCTTTCATTCCCGCTGAACACAATATTACATACCCTTTAAACAATTGTGTACCAGTAACATCAAATTTTCAGAAAATGATTAAGATATATCTTTCTTTTTAATGAGATAATATAAATAATAAAACAATAAATTGATAAATAAACGATTCGATAAAAAACTTCACGTTTCAAATATAGTTTTAAATTGTTTACTTTACACAAACGTGATTATATTTTATAAAGCTGTGACTCTGTTCAATATTTGTCAACTAAATGCTACCTAAGTCGGTTTCTTCTTTTTTGTTTTGATGTCTACACATCTTAAGGTTTTAGCTTTTGATCTTTTACATGAAATGAAATTGGTATATAAAATAATGTTACTTTAGTCTGTATCTTAGCAGGGCGCAACTAAAAAATATAAACATTTGTTCCTGCTGTCTCGTAAATTGCGTAAATTTATACTCTACATCTTTTTATATATAACTTAAAATCTGATTTTGGTATCGCATTTGTTTTTCTGATCAGAAAACATACCTCCAATATGCTGAAAATCTGCAGAACATTGCGATTGATCTTGTTCACTTAATATGTCGTTTTCCATATCTGCAACTACAAGGTATACTGCACTACTGGTCAAAAATGCTTGATGTGTAGCATAAAATTCTTTTTGTCCTGCAAAGTCCCATAATGCACATAATGCATATAGATTTCGTGGAGATTTTGCAGTTGACTTAGAAAACACATTAGCCATCAAATCCTTGGGCATTACCAATAATGAAGGCTCATTCTTATTCTGAATTAGTTTTGTGTCGGTTTTCCTGTCTGTTTTATGAGTAGGCGTCTTATCAAGATGATTTATAGTACTATCCTTTGTCTGATCTACCTGCATATTTTCAGTGTCTTTGTTGTCGGCTAGGTCATCAGCTGTTATATCCATCGGAAAGGCATGGTTAACATCAATTGACTTATTTACTAGCGTATTGCTTTCTTTTTTTCCTATTTGCGTAGGTTTATTTAAACTTTTTGTTCTGTTGGCACTTTCTTTTTCCACCATTTTTGTTTTCCCATTTGGACTCAGTGCTCTATTAATCCGTTCCTTCTTGTCATCGAATTCTGATACAAAAAAATAATTTTTTGAATATTTTAACATGATACCAATTTAATACAAGTTTCAAGGCAATTCAATGGCATCATAGAACATTTTCCATACCATAAATGTGGTGGAACTTTTATATTTTTTATTCATTATAAGAGTAGAGATTGTTACCTTTATTAAGCTAAAATCAGCATTACTTGAAATGAAATTTCTGTGTTTCCATGCATGTTCAAAGTACAGCTCATTTATATATTCAAATTTTCTTATCTTAAGTGAATTTGGTTGGAAAGATCGTTAATTGTTGTCTGAACAATTGGTTAATTGTTAATATTTCTCGTCTTCCCGTTCTTGATGGTGACCGTAACACTTAGGCAATGTCAATTTCAGTCGTCTTTTCTCATAACTGTGTGGGAGCAATTTTTCTATAATGAGCACACACCCTGTTAATAAAGATCACACAGTGTGAACATGCACAAGCGTAAATGAATAGTACTATATCAAAAAGACGTGGTCCTAAGTCAATGATTCCGAGATTTAAGAACATCCTCATGTCTCTTCTCTAATTGGAATTGCTAGTTCACCTGTTAATGAGGAACCAGATAGAAAGTTTATTTAAAAAAATTTGAGATGAAACATTAAAAAACAATCTTTACGTGACATATACTATTTTGTCTATTCAGTATATTTGTAATGCAAAGTATATTTCGTTACATATAAGTAATAGTAATCAGGTGTATTCGATTTAAATATAAATTCATGATCATTATTTATCACCACTGAGTATTTATATACCTTTGCCGATTGTCCATTTTCCATCTTCTATGTTGATTTTGCATCTACGAACAACAATATCAACACCATCTGTACTAGAAACATCAGATATGCTTTCATTGAATAGTCTTCTCAAGAGGCACGTTTTTTCCAGCCGATTCCTTTCCAACTATCATAATTCTTACAAAATACCTTTTTTCAGTTTCTGAATTTTGCAAGAGCTTATTGAATATGAGTATATCTCCTGTAAAATTAATAAATTTCTAGGTAAATTAAAATAGAAAATTGGATTTTCTTAGCATAAACAAAAAGGTTTATAGCGGCAATTACAAAATAAAACATAAATAAACACGAAACATTTACACTCAGAAGGGGAAAACACTCTCATATGTAGTCTCTGTATCAAATTCGACAAACAATCCTCAGGATATAATGAGCAATTTAGAAAAATAAATGTTTTGGATTCATTTGCGGTTGCGTGTAAGTAGAGATAACAAGAAAAACAGTGTTCGGGGATATAACTCTTTCGAGGAAAAGTTTTCGGTCAAAAGCGTATAAACTGTTCGATATCATATACAAATGATATACCAAATATCTGAGCGACATCATGCGAGACAATAAATTCTCGCAAAAAAATTATTTTGGCGGAAGAAAAATAATAATAATCGGAACGAATTCAAAAGATCTTTCTTTCTGTGGAAAGACATACTGATACAAAACTTCTGCACATAGTTTTTACATAAGACTATGTTGTACTTTTTGTTAAGTAGACACTGAATATGTATCAATTGTACTTTCCGAGAAAAGGCTCATTCACTTTATGTTCAAGCACCGTTCACAGTATATGTAGCAGCTGTAAGGGAGGTCTTTATATCGTTCGAGTTCAGAAATGTTTACTCCGTACGCGGGTGAAGTTTGTATGTTGCCGCTAAGATGAGGAAAATTTATAATTTCGAAATTGAAATCGCCTCGTTTGTCATAGATTTTGGTACTGTGATGACCACTGTAGTCAAAATCGGGGTATGTTTTTGAAATGAGGTGGAGGAAAAAGTAAAATCACAAAAATACTGATCCCCGAGGAAGCGGTATCTGTGTTTTTTTTTAATTCCGAGTTTAGGAGAATATACTAATGGAACCCGATCAGAAATGTTGGGATTGTCTATGAAAAAAAGCATCAGCAGTATAACTGTATGTAAATAAAATGATCTAGCTCCTTTGATCTTCTTAGCAAAGAAAGCTATTATAATGCACCTGCTAATTTGACGATGAGGGCATATTTCATTACATACCCCCAAGGGTGACTGGGGAATAGAAGTATGGTCACCATTTGTCTTTCTCCGACCGGCAGTAAAACCCTTGCTAAAGTGAGGCGTCTGTTTGGCTGTGCGGGATCTACAAATTTGCAGCCGGTCAGAATGGGGACGTAAAATCCGATGCCTCGTGTAAAGAGAGTGCCACGCTCTTTGCACGTTACGAACACTAGCAACAACTCTTTGAGGGGTCCGTAGGTGACCTGTTGCAAAGCTTAATTTCTGTCCCTATCCAATATTCCCTCATTTCCCGTGGCAGTCTAAATTTCGCCGACCTTAACCCCGGACACCCCTATTACAGAACCTACCTATTGTATTTATTGTTAATTTGTTCTCGTCCTGAATATGCATGAAATATTTGCCACTGGATGTTAAGCAACCAACAATCAATCAATCAATATTTCATTACAAATAATATAATTGACATTAAACCTTTAAACTGATGAAAAGTGCGACGGAAATCAAATGGAATTGTCGTATTTAATTCAAAAATTTTCTTTGTCTGTTCTAAAACAAGACAATTTGATGGTTATTCCAACCCAGTTGCCAGTATTTTAGTACTGGCATGATGGACATATTTTTATTGGTATTTTTGGGTTAAAAAAATCATATTATTTTAATTGAACGAATGGGTCATCCTTGTGCATAGTTCATGGTTTTTTGGATAGGAACAAACATAGCCTTACGATAGGCCACATACAGACCCCTTAAAAGGTTGTTGCAAAAGTTATAAACGTGCAAAGAGCGTGGCACTCTTCCTACACAAGGTATCGAATTGAACGTCCCCATTATATCCGGATGTGGCTGCGTAATTTTGCATCCCACACAACCAAACATGCGCCAAAATTTGGCAAGGGTTTAACTGTCGGTAGGAAAAAGACCAAAGATGACCACATTTCTATTCCCCAGTCACCCGTGTGGCCTACATATTATAATAACTTACTACTACGAATTTTTATCCATCGTCGCTCAATTCCTACTACAATAATCAAAACAGCGACTGAAAAATAATAAAATTTTATGTTAAGAATAGAAGTGTTCGAATGTAATTGTATGTCAGATATCACTACACCAATGAATCTTATTGTTAAAATTCTCTATTGAAAGAATATTAAATACAATTTTACATACACATTTTGTAGATAGGCACAATGGGAGGCTTAAGATCACGTACAACTGGTTTAACATGTTTAATTGCACTATTCTATTAGGTCTATTGAAGTATTTATACATTCTTTGCTCTCAATTTGGGTTTGAGCGTTCCTATTAAAGGTTTGTTACGGACGCTCCAAATTACAAAAGCTTTAATTTGGTTCCCTAGTCAGACTATCAGGACTGTGTTGTTGGTAACTTAGTTATTAGAGGAGTTGTGTGTTGCTGCTGCAATGTCCAATATATGATCACATTAATTTGCGTATATCATATCACAGTTTTTACGTTACTGTCCTGGTGTGATTTCCACACCATTTAAGTGATTTTTGATTGTAGAGATATTTCATCATTTAATTATTACCTGAAATATCATTGAAATGTCTTTTGGGGTAACTTTACTGTTTATAAAATGTTAAAACATTCAACACACTTTTTTTCTTTCCACAGACATAGATTTCTATATTCGTATTTGGTACACATTTTCGGACTGTTCAATTATAAATTCTCCAGAACGTTCTCTAACTGTTCTGATTTTAGTTTCACTGATGAGTCTTATGTAAACGAAATGTGCGTCTGCAGTACCAAATGATAAGCCGGGTATCTCTGAAGACATTAGCAAAGATGCCGGGCAATATAGATCATTTAATGCTTTGCTTGTTTCCATTCTATATTTTTTCAAATTGCGTTCTAAATACTTTGGCAATTCTATTAAATTGGTAGTTGGTCGTTTTCTATAGCCTCTTACCTACATCTTTTCCTGCTATTATTTTATTCTTCAGTGTAGTTTTTGCTGGTACTTATTACTAATAGTGGGCAAAAACACTGCATGATTTATCTTTTTTATGATTAATTTATTTATTGATGCTACTTTTAACTCCTAGTTGCAATTGTTTCAGGCATATTCAGGTAAAGAAACTATTAATTATTACTAATGTAGGTTCTGTACGGTTGGACAAGAAAGATGATAGCGGGAAATGTGGACTGTAACTCGAAAACAATAATATGCTGGACAAGGGCAGACATTTTGCATTTCAACTACCAACTACAGATAACACAAAGAGTTACTGCTAGGTTCTTTATCGTGCAAATAGCGTTGCATTCTCTCCACATGAGGTTTTGGATTTACCGTCTCTCTTGTGAACAGACGGCTGCAATTTTTTCATCCATAACTGCCAAACGGCCGTCTTATTTCGAAAAAAAAACAACCTTTGTCTATTAGTCGAAAGAAGAACATATTTCTATACCCCGGCTACCGATTTGGCTGTTTTTTTTTTTTATCTAAATAAGGAACTATTTTCTATATCAAAGTGTGGTAGCCTTGATATATTTAATGATTTGCTTATACCCCGTCTCCAACGAAATTATTTTTTGGAGTTCCTAAACAAAGTCATTGCTTTATGTTTTGGTGGGATAATGTTTTGATAGCGTGTAACATGTTATGGGTCAATGTTGTATCTGTTGTTAGAATTTTGGAAATGGATACGGCTACCATGAAAACAATAAAAATGTCAAAACGCGCCAAACTTTATAAAAATTTATAGAAATATTGACTTGCATGTGAAGAGTCTATATTTGACTTTGGATTTTTCAAAATGGCCACAGTTTCTATGGAAACGGCTAAAATATGAAAAATTGAAAAATATGTGTCTTCATGTATACATAAAATTTGAAATTTTTAAACTGGCTGCCGGTACTATGGATTCATCAAAAATGTAAAAAATAAAATTTGGTTTTTTATGCCTAATTTGAGAATACCCGAACTGACACTCTATGTAATTATTATACAGTGTTGGTTTCCATTATAATATACAGGTTTTGGATCATTTTAATCGTCTTCGAAATTACATGGAAGCGGCTTTTTCCTAAAAATCGTCAATATAGACCCAATGGTAAACACAAAAGTAGGATTTTTTAAAGATCATTAAATCAAATATGAAAGTTCTGGATGTAGATATGTTGCCTTTTTATTTAAAGATGTGGAATAGTTTTAAACATTTTCGAGTTTGGCAACGGTTGTCAAATAATTCAAAATGCTCCGAACTTACTGTCTTTGCCATGGAAACTGCAATGTATGGAAAAAAGTTAAAAGCTTAAACCTGAAACTTAACAAAGATGTTAACTACCAGGTGAAGATGTGGCATTCGATTCAGGAATTTTCAAAATGGTTGCCTTGTAGTGGCAATTGGCGGGGGAGAGACACCCTAGTTGTAATTGTTATAATGCCTTCGACCCTCTTATGGGTGTAACATGTGCTAAATAAAGTTAGTATTTAGTTAAATCATGTACCCTTAAAATATATTTTAGAGGTTGTGTGAACCTCTTTATGGTTTATACTTTATCGAGCATAACCACGTCGTCTTGCTCGTTAAAGATACAACCTTATCACATGACGCAAAAGGACTACAGTCAAACGCAGTCTTTATACAAAAGCAATTAACATGTTTTTTGTATGAGAAGGAGAGTGGACAGTGTGTTGTTCTTTGTTAGAATGTGTAAAATGTTTAGTAAATTTCTAACAGACTCCTTCCAAACCCGTTAAAAAAAGATTGCAGATAAAAACAAAAATTCTGAACATCTCTTAAATTAAACTGTTCATATATTTAGATATACTTACAGTAAGCGAATAACAATATCAAAACCCATGTAGCTGCTTTGGTGCGATATTCATCTACAATTACACAAAACAAAGTCTTTGTTATGAAAGTATTTTGTATTGTATGGCATTTCCATCTTCAATTGAATTAATTTATAACTCTATTACTAAAACACAATTCTGACGAGCAACATCAACATTATTATTATTTCAATTATTTTAACGATTTGTTTCATGTATCCTTTTATGCGTTTTTTTAAATAATTTTGTTGAATTTTGTCCTTTTACTATTTTGAGGATGTTTGCCCCTCTGTTTAAAAATTACAGACTTTCCAAAAGACTGTTATATATTGATAATACATCGATAATGGACCTTAAAAAGAAGAAAAAAAATGACAAGTCTGAGATATAATAAAGTGTAAAGTAGGCGGGTAATGATTCTCTTTAGATTTTTCATACACCAAAAACTATCAAAATAACAAGGATTTTATAAAATTTTAAAAAATTGCTTTTTTAACTTTATAATTAAAAAAATATCAAAAGAAATGTAGGGGTTAGCGGGCAATATTTGCACTTTATAGATAAAATTAGATGATTCCAGATATCTGACAGAAACACACAAAAACAGGAGCAGCGAACATCATTAACAGCCATTTTTTATTGTCGTTTTGGGCATCAACCATAATTAAGAAAGGATACTTACAAGGAAGCATGTAGTAAAAGTTATGATAATGACAATTATGAAGAACACACACCAAATGCTCGTCGGGTAGCAATTTTACATTTATATGGTACAAGATTTAAATCCTTTCAAGGGAAGAGCCCTTGTTTGATATAATGCTACCCATATTTTTCATCAATTCTTTCCTTATATCAATTTAAAACTTTGAGATATTCTCATGATTATTTTCAATTCGTCCGCCATTTGGGTCATACGAAATTTTACTTTGTGGAGAACCACACTTATTCCCGTAACAACTACAGCGAAGATTATCTCATCAAAAAGTTAATTATTTCAATCGACAGGATATTTGTTTTGTTTTGTTGATTGATGTTTAAGCATACAGTCGGTAATCCAATGGGTACTCATTGTGAACAACTATTGTCCGATTAATTTTTGTAATCGTATGAAGCTTAATTCGTACAAAACTTTCTCAAAGACAAAGAGCAAAAATCTTCTAGCAAAGCTCTTTTATTTAAGTTTTAGATACGAGCACATTGATAGTGGCCTGTCACTCAATAACCAACATTGCAATGAGAGCTTCCATTTTATATAACCTAGTGAAGTTTAAAGATACTACAGAAAGTTGTAGGTCTGATCCATATTTCCTCGATACTTAGACAGATGGACGACTTCAAACTAGAATTTATAACAAACGAGATGATTTCATCTTTCCAATTGTCAACTTCCCATTTTCCAGCAGTAACATACCCTTTGCTCCGTCGTGTGGCATTTACATATCTCATTTAATATGATGCACTCATGCAAGTTCACCCTATACAGACTTCGTTAACAGGGGTTTGTTCGCTCTTTAAAAAGGCTCAACCAGAGTTAGAAGGAACTACATACGTGTTACGGTCATCATCACGAATTAGTGTACCAATACGATATGTCGAGATGTTTTTGAAGTCTTAACTCTTTAGATGTCGGTTAAGTCGTCTGAATTGTAATTTTACTAGAAATATTATATTACCGATTTTGACATTTGACTGAGTTTTGGTTCGCATGATGGGTGATGCATGCAGCCGTTCTGGCTTCTTTAAAAATTCGAGCAATTCCCTTAGGTTTTGTGTGTTACCTTGATTTGTCTCTTATGCATTGATTTACTGGATTTGAACATCGGTAAATTACTGTCCCCACAATTTAACCGTGGATATACGTACGTTTTATTAATCTGTTCAATTGCTTAACAATCCTTCGAATATTTTGTTTCGTAAAATCTAAAACAGACTTTGGTTGGTGATATCGAACGACATTGACACCCGAATCAAATCTTTTCTTAATAGAGATATCTCTCCAAAATGCGTTTTCAGTCTTGCATCTCCATCGTACACGTTCAATATATTAAACATATCTGTGGTCTTATATCCCATGAAAACTTTCTTCAGTTTTGACTGATTTTTTATTACTGCTTGTATGAATCATTACAAAAAACTTGTTATCTTAGAATCTGTTTAAGTTAAGGAAATAGATAACAATGGGATGGACTTTTCATAAACGAAATGTGTTTAATCTATATTCCTTATTTCATAGAAAAACTACATCAGAGCATAATACAAACAATCCTGTGAAACAAGCTTGACTTTTCGTTTATCTGAAGTACTTTATTATATCATTTACTTCACTTAAAAGTACCTATAAGCAGCATAGTTCAGTGGTTGTCGTGTGTTGATGTGGTTCATAAGTGTTTCTCGTTTTTGATATAGATTAGACCGTTGGTTTTCCTGTTTGAATTATTTTACACTAGTCATTTTCGGGGCCCTTTATAGCTTGCTGTTCGGTGTGAGCCAAGGCTCCGTGTTGAAGGCCGTACTTTGACTTATAATGGTTTACTTTTACAAATTGTGACTTGAATGGAGATTTGTCCCATTGGCACTCATACCACATCTTCTTATATCTACTTAACCCGTTTAAGGCAAGCTATCTTTTTACACAGGATACAACTTTATGTATACAAGAAGCAGTTAATTTTCTAGTTTATTTCATTAAATTGTTCCAAGTAAACATCAATGTGGATGTAGCGGAGAAATATATCTACTTACACCGGAATAATATACACCCATATAATTATATTTGAACTGATGATTTGTTTTAAAAAGTTAAATAACAAAAATGCCGAACTCCAAGGAAGATTCAAATCGGAAAGTCTCTTATCAAATGGCAACATAAAAAACTTAAACACATCAAACGAGTGGAAAACAACTGTCATATTCCTAATTTGGTACAGGCATTTCCTTATATAGAAAATGGTGGATTAAATCATGATTTATAGCTAGCTTAACCCCTCGCGTGTGTGACAGTCGCATAAAGTTCCAGTTAATTAATCTAGTTTTAATTTTCACAGATTTTCCACTCCTAACTTACTTGGATTACAAAAAAAGAATGTTTAATTGAACAGTCCCTAAATATATTTATTATTCATAATCGTTTGACAATTTAAAGAATCTGTTTTTTTTTCAGAGATATTGAAAGGTATATCAAAGGCGGAAGATACCAAAGTGATAATCATATTCATAAGTCGTAGACAAAACTGACAACGCCGTGTCGTACAAAACTTGAACAACGCGTTCAAGATTGACTATCAACACATAACGACAGAGCATCAATTACTCCTTCACTTTGTATTTGATTTGGCAGTCAAACTGATTTGATTAGAGAGCAACTGATAACAGAGGCGAAAGATACCAAAGGGACAATCAAACTCACAAGTCTAAAGAAACTGACAACGCAATGGCAAAAAAAGAATTAAACTAACAGAAAAAAATAACAGTACATCTCAGGTGCTCCGGAAAGGTAAGCAGATCCTGCTCCACATGTAATACCCGTCTTATTGCTAATGTTAGTACAAACTCGGTGATAAGGCCACAGACCACACTTAAATTTCTCTATTAGTTCTTTATAACGTTTTGTCTTATTAACAAAATTGCACCTAACCTTTTTGTTCAAATTTTTGTGTGTGTAATTTACAGTACTGGTCCAAAAATATATCCAACATTCAGAAAGATTGCACCCTAACATCTCATATGGAGTCATAAGTCAAGAGATGTTCCGAAAACTGTAACTATTACCTTTTTGCATATGGCCTAATAACTCTTTCCATATCAAAAATCAGTTAAAATATAACATCCAAAAATTTATTTCAGCTCTTTTCTTTCATTTCCACCCCACAAAAAATAAGAAACGAATGAGAAAGGGAAAGAAAAAAAATAATGAAAAAATACACTTTAATTAAAGAAAACTATTCGTGGACAACGAAAAGCGGGGTCATTAATTGTGGTCTCGGGCCTATTAGGAGTCAAAAACTTCCATGACCAATTCTGATAACACTTTGCATGATTTAAGCTTAGTGTATTATGAGATAGTTTACCTAGTTTCAAAGCAATATGATATCAATTATAGAAAATGTGGCATTTTTTTATATCTGAACTTTGGGTGCTTAATTGTGATGTTGAATTAGAACAATTTCAACTATCAAATTTGGGCTTTGAAAAACAAAAATGGAAACAGATGTGCACTTCTTAATGTCTATGTTTAAGATATTACCTTTTTAAAGCAACATATAGCAAACTGAATGTATCAGACTTAAATGAAGTGAGGCCTTATATGAAATGTGATATTTTCCACTTACAACAATTTTCTGAAGTTGCTAAGTTATAAAAAAAAACTTCTACATATAATAAATGTACTTTTAATGGAAATATACGTTTTAAATAGAATAACACATGTGGATAAAATGGATTTAAGCAATCTCAAGCTTAAAAAAACAATTTGTCAATTTAGGCCGTACCCCATATTTGCATATTAAAAAGCATGTCAATGATATGGGAGATGGAAATATGCTTCTTTTTGCTAAAATCTTTGCTAAGTTATGATGAAAAATGAAGCCTGGATATAACAAGACTGTTGCTTTCAACTTTATATGTAGACAGTATGGTCTGATGCAAAGTTTATTCACTTTACTGTTAAAAACCGGCATGAAATTTCAGCCTCAAAAGGCCAATATGTTAACCACTAGCTATCCAACTAAAGAAAATAAAGGTAGTCTGTGAAACAGACAAGATAAAACAACCAGTAATAAGTGCTTTTGATACAGATTCAGTGAAAATCTGCTAAAAGGAATTCAACTTGTATGTGCATAGAACCTTATATGTCACTTGCTTCATACTGACCTGTAGACTTAGACCATTAAAACAGCACAATTTGCTCTCTTATTCTGTTTTTATCTACTTTTCTTTGTGTGCAGAGTTCACAAATGAGTAAAACATAAATTAAATACCACAAACAAAAATAGAAAATCTGAAAAACCTGTCCAAGAGAAAGTAATCATGCTTCTTTTTTAAAAAATATTGAAACAACTTAAAAAGTTAAATTTTGGGCATGTAGCTGAAATGTCACTTTTTAAAAAAACTTCTATCAAATAAAAGTGGAAATCAATTATTTTCATGTAGTTTGACAAATTAATACCAATAGATCATTCAGGGAAGTTGTCAAAGTACAAATTCAATATTTGCTGAAATGCACCTCTTAGGCCACATACCACATTTAAATTCCTTCATTAGTTCTTTATAACGTGTTGTCTCATTAAAAAAAATTCACCTTATCGTTTTGTCCAAATGTTTGTGTGTGTAACGAACAGTACTAGTCCAAAAATATATCCAACATTCAGAAAGATTGCACCCTAACATCTTACAAATTTAGCCAATGCACATGCATACCCCTCTGGACAAGTCAAGAGATGTTCCTAAAACTGTAAATATTACCTTTTTGCACCTGACCTAATCACTCTTTGTGACCCGGATTTGTTTCAGTTAAATGGATTTATGATTATTGAATAGCGGTATACTACTATTGCCTTTATTTATTTCCATATCAAATCAGTTAAATGGATTTATGATTATTGAACAGCGGTATACTACTATTGCCTTTATTTATTTCCATATCAAAATCAGTTAAAATACAACATCCAAAAAAATTTATTTCAGCTCTCTTCTTTCATTACAACCCCATAAAAACTTAGAAATGAACGAGAAAGGGAAATAGAAAAAATAAAGAAAAAATACACTTTAATTTTAGGGAACTATGTTCTTAGACAACGAAAAGCGGGGTCATTAATTGTGGTATCGGGCCAATTAGGGGTCAAAAACTTCCATGACGGTCAACCAACTCGTGATGGCGTCCGTAAAATTTACGAAGAGATGATTTCAACTTCACCACTTAGAACTCTTGGTTTAATAGCTTCCTTGTGATGAGCAACTAGGAGATTTATACTCCGTATGCTGGTGCTGCTGGAATGTTTCTACACTTGGGAAGCTGAAATAATCTCTTTTGTCGCAAAATTTTGTTTTCAACCAACCATCATTGTCAATTTGTAGATGTAAGTTAAGATATGATGTAGGCTAAACTGTATCTGTTGTATCCTTGATCTCAAATTCGACGGGATGCGTTCAACATAGTCACCAAATTTAGAATTTTTTAGTGAGAGAACATCATTTATATAGCGGAAAGTGAAGTTATGTCTTTTGTAAACGAATCAAGCGTCTGGTGAATCAAAAATCACAATCTTTGTATCTGTTTTGTCGTAAACATATGATATATCGACTTTTATTTAACAATTTTTCCCTTATTTGGTCAATTGTGATCGTCGGAATAGGTTGTTCGGGAACATAAGTTATCTTTCCTTCACTACAAATTATATTCTTTACAATTGATTCAAAGCAATCTTTGAACTCTGGAAAGGAGTAAGTGTTCTTCGATTGTGAAGTCAAGGAATCCCCAAGGGTGACTTGGGATAGATATATGGTCACTTACATCGTCTTCCGAGCGGCAGTAAAACACTTGCCGAAGTGGATGCGATTACTTTTTTTTTCCAATGGCAATCCAAATTTCCTCGACCTTCATCCCGGACGGACTCTTATTACAGAAACTACCTGTTGTAGTTTATGTTAATTTGTTCTCGTCCTGAACATGAATGAAATATTTGTCAATAAACGTTAGTCAACCACCAATGTTCTTTCCTGAACATAAATGAAAAAATTTGCCACTAAACGTTAAGCAACCAACAGTCAATTGATTAAAAAGTATGTCCTGTAATAGCGGTCGTCCGGAATTACGTCAGGTAAATTTTTAACTGCCACTGGAAAATAAGGGTTTTATTGGATAGGGGCAGAATGCTTGCCTTGCATCTGTCCACCTACGGACACTTCATAGAGTTGTTGCAAGGGTTCTGTACGTGCTGAGCGTGGCACTCTATACACGAGGCATAGGATTTCACGTTCCCATTCTGACTGTACATGGCTGCGTACTTGTACATCCCGCACAGTCGTATGGACGCCCCACCTTGGAAAGGTATTACCCCCGGTCGAAGAAGACCACAAGCGACAATTGGTATATTTCCCAGTCACCCTTGGGACAATAAACAATTTAATTAATGATATATTAGTTAAAGCTTTAATGGTAAACGTTATTGATAAAATCATGTGGTCTGCATAAAGTGACGTTGGGCATAAACATTATAAAACTGATTTCAAAGGAAATATTGTGGCAGTCTTTGATTTTCGGAATGAGCTAACATTTAATATTAAACATTTACTATATTCTCATATTATGACAATGTATAAAATATACACGACTTATTCGTACTCCTTATATTTTCAATAACGATATGTTTTGTGACCATTGTAAACATCTTTCATAATTCTGAAAGGGCATTAAAAATTTATAATTGTTAAACATAAAATTGCATTCACGAGGCTTTTAAGATTATTGTGTCTTCTTTCTTTCTTTTAATTTAGTAACGATGAACACTTGCACAACATTCACAATGCAAAGCAAAAAGTACTCGATTATATTATGTATAAATTACTTTGTTATTTTTGATTGATTTTTCTATACCAGGTTTTAACTTACTTATATGAGCATAGTTTAGGTTGTATTTGTAGTTGTCAAACTCAATGATCTTTATTGTCCGTGATATATTAAACCTGTAAAGAGAACACATACACATGGCTATTGTCGCAGACTTCTGTACAGAGATCAAATTATAGAAATATTCATAAAAACATTTAGTAATCTCAATTGTTATGAAATGTACATTTCTTGAGTTTTTTGTGGACTTTTCTTTTATGATTTACACAGAAGTTAAACGAATGAAATTTCAGGCACTTTTTGTTGTCATACACTAATACACCTTCATCCGTTTGGTATTGATATAAATTTTGGAATCGAAAGTCATTTGCGCAACATTACAACTCAGATGTATGTTTTTCTTAATGAATCCAAAGAAACATAATACTTATATATATTATTCTTTATTGCAAAACAAACAAAAAACAATTTTGGTCATAGCAATACAGACACAAAACAAACATAAGATAAACTCAGCAATGATAAGATACATGTTATATTCCATTTGATTATTGATACTAGATTTAAGAAGTTTGTATAGATATATTTTATTATTTACATTACGGTTGTTTATTTTATCATTAATAATAGTTTGGTAATAGTTAATAGAACATTTTGTTTTTAATTTGGGTTTTAACCTTTTAGTCTGTTTTAAAACTTTAGTTTCTTCTATAAGTTTGATGGTAATATTTATTTCTTGTGACACATTTTTTGCAAAGGTATACCAAGAGTATGTTCCTTCAGTATCTAATTGTTGATTTAGGTTAACTGCTTCATTTAGGAAGTGGGTTTTGATTTTCATTATTTAATCTAGATAGGTACATCATGGTTTGGGTTTTTATAAAAGTTTTTATTGGCAAAAGTCCTAGTTCATTTTAGATTTTGATTCTAGATTTCAAAGCTAGATTTTGTGTTGCTTCTTTTCGTTCCCGGTACTTGATTAACAAAATGCAGCTGTTTTTTTTTCTAAAATAGTTTTATCAATGAAATGAATGACATCTGGTGTTAAGTTATTTTTGTTAGCGCACAGTTTAGCTCTATAAAATTGAATACAAGTGTCCATATAACATATTTCACTATTATATGTTAGAATAGGTATAACCAATGTTTCAAAAAGGTTGCAGGACACTCTCACAGGAAGTTGTTCAAAACCTGATGAGTAATATTTGATAGCAAATAAAACTTTTCTTGCTTTTTTTGCACGATATGAACTATAACTAGTTAAACTGCCATTGGATGTTTTAACAAATCCAATGTATTTATAGTCATAAACTTTTTCATGATATTTTCCTTTAAATTTAAAAATAAAGGGTTTATTTATTTTACGGGGATTTAGTTTGTAGAATGGTTTTAGATTGTTTAATTTTAACTGTTAATTGCCATTTATCACAATATTCAGAGAGACTCTTCAAACTTTCTTGCAGATCATTTTCACTTTCTGATAATATAATTAAATCATCTGCAAATAGGAGACTTCCTATGTCTGAATTTATAAGTTTTACAGGGGTACAGTTTTGCCTTTTCAAATATCTGACTTAATTTATTAATAAACTATTAAATAGTGTGGAGCTTAAAGAATTTCCTTGTTCTTCATCTTTATCTGTACTACAATGTCTAATTTTTATGTTTGAAAGAACCATCTGTATAATTGAATTGTGCTGTAATACTGTTGAAGATGTGTTTACCAACTCCTAGTTTACACAATTGACACATTAGCCAAAGAGAGTCAAAGGCTTTTTTAAAGTCAATGAAAATAATGTATATTTTCTTTTTATTTTTATGAAGGTATTTATTTATAATAGATTTAAGGATGAATAAGCTATCAGAAGTTCTATGATTCTCTCGAAATCCAAACTGCGAGTGGTTATATTTGGATTCCAACAGTTTATTGAGTCCATTATTCAACAATGCACTTAATACTTTTGTCAAACAGCTCATTAATGCAATTCCTCTATAGTTATTTAAATCATATTTGTCTCCTGATTTATGAATTGGAATTATATATGAATTTTCCAATAATTTGGGATAGCATCAAGATTTAAGTACAGAATTGAAAAGTTTTGTGAAAGTGTAACAGGGCTAGTGAATTTAATAATCTCATTTAAAATTTTGTCATGTCCTGAAGATTTGCCTGTTTATAGTTCATGTATAACAATTTTAACCTCTGACGGTGTAAAAGGTGTGTCAGTGATGTTTATTTATAGCAGATTTTCTTCAATGTTTTTGAAATTCTTTGTTGACAGTAGAGCATTTTCCTTGGTTTTGAAAATGTTGTTCTAACTCTTCTTAGTTTTAAATATTTTTTTTCAGAGTTATCTTCATGTTTTTGGGTCTTTTTCATTTCTTTAACAACTTTCCAATATTCTTCTGAATTATTTTTTGAGGAGTTTTCAAGTTTTTTAATTACATCTGCTTTATATTTAGCTTCTTTTTTGTTTAACCATCCTTTCAAAAGTTTTTAGAAGATTACAATATCTAGTTTTATATGATTTATTACATGGAATTACTTTTTCTCCAGATGGCATTTATTTAATGTTTTAAATCTGTTATTGCAATATTTGAGCATGGTTGTCTATTTTTTTGGTTTGCTTTTCTTAAAAATTTTTTCTTTTAATTAAACACTAATTTTCAGATAAATTACAAAGAATAGTTGTTAGTTTATTTATTTCATCATCAACACCTCTTTGATCAGTACTGAAGTTTTGCATTTCACAGTCTAAAATATTGTTTAAAACAGTTTCATCTGATAAGTGGTCAAGCAATTTTAGTCTTGATTTTTGTGAGTCCCACTTAAATGATACAGAGCTAGACCAATTTGAATATTCAAAGATATTAGCTATATCTAGATTCATGTACAGTAATAAATGAACATAACAAAGACATAATTTTAGGGACAAACACACACTTGCCTATCTCCTAAGTAACGACTACTTGTCATATTCATGTCATCATAGCATTTCATATCTGAAAAAAATAATTGAGAAGTTTGTTTTTCCTATAAAATGTTTACCTTCTGTACGTGGTTTACACATGGATATACGGAACTTTTCCCTTCAGTTATTGTTATGTTCGGTAACAAATTAGTTTGCACAATCTCGATAACCAGCATGTATGCAAATTCACTCAATTGTTTTCATTGCACTATTTTTTGTTGGTTGTAAACATACACGAAGGGTATGTTTTCTTTATATTAAAATTATATTACTTAGATAATTATGAAATTGTAATAGTAGCAATCATTGACCCACCGTTTCCATATTTATGCCTGGAGGAAGAACATCCTTAGTATTTCGAATATTTCAACATTTAATAAAAAGTTAATGTACATAAAAATGAACGTTGCAATGATAATTGATAGCAACACAAAAGTGCTGACTTCTTGGCTGGAAATATCCTGGGTACTAAACGTTCACCGGCACTGGAATCGACCCATTAGTAGAAAAAATGCCTTATTATATTAAAAATTACAACCTTACTCCTTAAACGGATTTTAGATAAACAGGCTAAAATCTATGTAAAAAAGTTTGATGAAAGTTAGCCTGAATATTTACTGACAAAAATTTAATCAGAAGACAAAAGAATTTAATATATAAAATATTAATGAATTTAAGTAATATTATTTAGATGCTGTTACGTTTCTATTGAAAATTACGATAATGAAATATTGGTCAATGGGATGCTAAACTATACCCTAAATATAAATCTAATAACATATTGTTGGCTTCATCAATAAATAGAGAGACAGCTCCATTGTTTTTATTTGCATATTGATAGTATTTAAACCTGACAAAAATAGAATAGACCCCCAAGGGTGACTGGGGAAGATTAATATGGTCACTACAGTTCGTCTTCCGACCGGCAGTAAAACCCTTGCCAAAGTGGGGCGTCCGTTTGGTTGTGCGGGATGTATCAAGTACGCAGCCACGTCCGGTCAGAATGGGGACGTTAAATCCGATGCCTCGAATAGAGAGAGTGCCATGCTCTCTGCACGTTAAGAACCGTTGCAACAACTCTTTGAGGGGTCCGTAGGTGGCCTGTTGCAAGGCCAAATTTCTGTCCCTATCCACTATATCCTCATTTTCCAGTGGCAGTCTAAATTTCCCCGACCATCATCCCGGACGGCCCCAATTACAGTACCTACCTATTGTATTAATTGTTAATTTGTTCTCGTCCTGAACATGCATGAAATATTTGCCACTGGACGTTAAGCAAACAACAATCAATCAATCAATCAAAAATAGAATAGTAATATACCTTTTAGTCCAACCGTTTCGTTGAATGGATTTATTCCGAGATAGCAAGAGCAATCCTCAGTTGACGGATTGCAGTAACATTGTTTTTTCGAGTTCCTGACAAACGAATATCCTCTATCTGTATTACAAATACATGATCTGTCGACCGTAGAGTTGCCGTTTTCATACGTCTCCTGACCTAGGTCGTTGCAAAATGATTTTTGAAAGATGCAGTCACTGTTCCCTATTGTTCCGAAAATAAAAGGCTGATATCGTTTTACACTACATGTTGCTCTGTTAAAATCCGGCTGAAAGACGTATTTATAACCTGCAAATGTAAGAAACGAAAGTGCTTAATGAACATGCGTCTATGAATCAGGTTACGGTTTTACAGTATAAGTTATATTCCGCTGATTTGTATTTCCCTAATGCAGGTACATGTAATTGTTATTCTTTCACTACAATGTTATTTTATTTTAAATGAAATACGTTGTTAATATTAATGGCTATTCTACGGAAGACAAATTCTTTTTAGTCATAAATCAAACAGTTTTATTATATGAAACTACATTAATTATTAACGTTCAGGAAGTATTAGTTACATGTACACTGGCAAAACGCATGTGAAAGAGACGTTTCATGCCACGCATGTGACACATGTGTGAAAAACACATGTGATACGCATGATAAACACATGTGATCATGCGTTTCACATGTGAATTACATGCGTAAGGAAATACACCTGTAATACATGCGTGATTACTGCATGTAAAAGGCATGATGCCTGTATTAAATATTTTTCAAAATGTCCTATTTGTCCAATACCATGATTGTTGACATGTATCTTAGTTCTCATGGGAATTACATGTGTTCTAACACATGCGTTATACATGTGTTTTCTATATATATACACAGGCAAATTTTGTTCACGTAAAATTCTTGTGCGATTCACCTCAAACAAGCTTATACATGAAACTCATGTGCAATTAATGTGAATTGAGCTTTAACATGAAATTCATGTTAAATTTTTCATGTGAAACTAACGTGAATCAAGCTTTCATGTTAATTTTTCTAAAATGAAATTAAGGTGAATTGAACATCAATCACACAAATTCACAGTATTTGAGCATATTTTAGATAAGTTAATGCTAATCTAGTACACATTCTATTTTGATATATATAAATATTCTTCTTGGTCTTGACTATGTGTTCATACTTCCATTATATTTTACTTTCTTGAAATGTGGATAGTGTCCACATGTGGACACAGATGATGCCCCCCCTTTTGCAGAGCATATAGTTATAAAGGGACATAACTGAAGAACGGTAAAAGTGACGCTACCCAAATTTGAACTTGATCTTAGTTTTGTGGTAATAAGCATTGTGTGTAAGTCTCATAACATTTGGTTGAGGCTAATTTGAGTAGAGAACAGAAACTAAAAATTCAGCAATTTTTCTATTTGTAAACACGCATAACTCTAGAATGGTTGTGTATAAGTTTTATAACATTTGGTTCAGACAAACTAAAGTTAGAGAACGGAAACTAAAAATTCAGCAATTTTTATGTTTATAAAATGACATGACTCAAGCATGGTAAAAGTGTTCTCACCAAATTTCGTACTTAATCTGTATTATGTAGTAATAAGCATTGTGTATAAGTTTCATAACATTTGGTTGAGGAAAACTAAAGTTAGAAAACAGAAACAAAAAATTTGTACTTGATCTTAGTTTTGTGGTAATGAATATTGTGTATATGTTTCATAATGTTTGGTTGGTGAAAACTTAAGTTACAGAATGGAATCTTTCGATTTATAAAGGAGCATAACTCAATAATGGTTAAAGTGACACTACCCAAATTCAACTTGATCTGTGTTTTATCAGTGGAAGTCAAAATTAAACATTGCATTGTATTGTATAAAGCATTGATTGTAGTTAATTCAACTATAATCATGGACAAAGGAAGATAACTCCAATTTAAAACATAACTTGATATTTAGAAGAAAATAAAAATTTTGCAATTTTTCCATTTATAAAGGGGCATTACTCTAGAACAGTAAAAGTGACACCACCAAAATTCAAACTTGATCTGTATTTTGTGTTAATAAGCATTGTGTATAAGTTTCATAACATTTGGTTGAGGCAAACTTAAGTTAGACAACGGAAACTAAAAATTTTGAAATTTTTCCATTTATAAGAGGGCATAACTCTAGAACCGTTAAAGTGATGCCACCAAAATTCAAACTTGATCTGTTTTTTGTGGTAATAAGCATTTCGAATAAGTTTCATATCATTTGGTTGAGGCAAACTTAAGTTAGAGAACAGAAACTAAATATTTTGCAATTTTTCCATTTGTAAAGGGGCATAACTCTAGAACGGTTAAAGTGACAGCACCAAAATTCAAACTTGATCTGTGTTTTGTGGTAATAAGCATTGTGTATAAGTTTCATAACATTTAATTGAGGCAAACTCAAGTTGGAGAACGGAAACCAATTTTGGGACGTACGGACGGACGTACGTACGTACAGACGGACAAGGGTAAAACTTAATGCCCCCACCGCTACGGCGGGGGCATAAAAATATTAATCTATCTCCAAACTCACAATATCTCCAATGCAAGAAATAGGATGCAATAAAACAAAGAAGGCAAGCAAATATCCAGGTCACCTTTGTTCACTCCTAGAATTTTTTCGGTTATGGTCAAGTCTCCATACTTTTTTTTAAAAGTGATGTAAGGATTAGTGATTCATTTATAGAATATGTATGCACTGATGTGTATTTCATTTTTAATATGTATGTACAAGTCATTTTGTGGTTATCAGTCATGAGACAATGCAATCATATTGTGGAAATTGTCTTACTTGCAAAAGATGCCAATTTTTCTTTTGAAAGTTTTGAGGAAAAAAGTAGTTCACCCTGCCACATATTCATGTGCCTGTTTCAAGCCAGGAACCTTTTCAGTGGTTGTCTAAAGTCTCATCCTAATTAAAAAAAATATTTAAAGAATTTGGTGTTGATGGAAGCTCTTTGATTGGTATAGACTCTGGTTAATTAAGTAGATCATGACATATACCATATTGAAAGTCTTGCTGTTATTTACAACCATTTCCTTCTTATTTCATATATGTATTTCAGTTTTTTTTTCATTTCAACACCAATCTTAATAAGGTTTAGGAAAAAAGAAAACAAATGTTGACCAACAACAGGCATATACCATTAGAAGATCTCAAAGTTTGGCTGCACAATAGACTAAAAATTCTTGTTATTTCAAATATTTATATAAAATTCAGTTTAAAACATGCATTTTCCATTTTTAGACTATAATTGTCATGTTGACACAATAATTTGAATTTGAATTGTATTATATTCTGAGAGTACTTGTGGTTGAAATAATATACACAATATTTTATTTCATGTGTTTTAGATTTCTTAAATATACCACTCCCATATAATGACGACATGTCTGTTAATAATGTTTAAGAGTTCTCTCCTGCATGTAATTGCTGTAATTTCTATTTGTACCCAAGGCTTCCTTCATACATTTGCACTTATCCTTCTAAGATGTTGCTTGAATGATAAAATCCTGTAATACATTATCAGCCATCAGACTCTTGGAATACAGTTGCTGTAATAAAAAAAATATAAACTGTAATCACAGAGATATGTCTTGCTTTTTAGTAATTTCGATAATACAAATGTTGAAATTAAAATAGCAACACTTTAACATGTAAGATTTACAAATATTCAAAGTCAATGAACTATGACTAAAGGTACATGGCTAAACAATCTCCATGTGCCAATGCTAATACAACACATACCAAATACCATTGACTTATCATAAGTAGTTCCTTTTAAAAAACCTAAACACAACCTAATACATGTAAACTAAGAAAATTTTAAAGTCAATAAACGATAACTGAGGGGGCGGGGTCAAATAATTTCCATGGTAATGAGAATTGCCAATGCTAATACAACTGCTTACCAAACATCATTGACTTACCACTAGTGGTTTCCCATAAGCCGACCTAATCACAAACTAATACATGAAAACTAAGCAAAAGTTTCAAAGTCAATAGACCATGACTGAGGGGGCAGGGCCAAATAATCTTCATGGAAATGAGATATGCCAATGTGTATTCAACTGCATACCAATTATCATGAACTTACCACTAGTGGTTCCCCATAAACTGACCTAGTCACAAACTAATACATGAAAACTAAGCAAAAATTTAAAAGTCAATAGACCATGACTCAGAGGGCGGGGCAAAATAATCTCCATGGAAATGAGATATGCCAATGCTTATACAACTGCATGCCAATCATAATTAACTTACCACTAGTGGTTTTCCATAAACTGACCTAATCACAAACTAATACATGAAGACTAAGCAAGAATTTCAAATTAAGTCAATAAACCATAACTGAGGGGGCGGGACCAAATAATCTCCATGGTAATGAGATGTGCCAATACTAATACAATTGCATACAAAATATCATCGACTTACCACTCGTGGTTCACTATAAACTAGACCTAATCACAAACTAATACATTGTTGACGCCGCTGTCGTCACCAACGCCAGAAACAGCATACTTATGCCTCGCTTTTTGACTCCGCCAAGCGAGACAAAAACAGCATATATTTTTTGTAAAACATCCATCAAATATTGGCTTACCAATCAGGCAAAAAATGATAACATCAATTTAATCTCCAATGATTAACCAAACTTACATATATATATATATATCGTGTGAACAACTGGAGTGGAATATAATAGTTGTTGTTTATCATATTTATTTTTCGTTTAATGTCTTTTACGTAAATTAGAGTTGTTTAACATCTGTCATTTCAGGACCTTTTATAGCTTGCTAGATGCAGTATCAGTTTTGCTCATTGTTGAAAGCTGTTCATACAGTGATCTAAAGTTGCTAACATTCAGTCATTTGGACTCTGGTGGATAGTTGTCTCATTGCCAATAATACTACATATTCTCATTTTTATCAACATAAATTACCGTAATAATGAAAAATAACTCTATTCGTGCATGTGTACTACACATTACCTGTATATATAATATATACTAGAATACTCCCGGGACATCATGGGGTCGTGACTGAAGCAAAGTACCTTAGCCTTATTTTTAGCCTGAATTGTAAGATTTTTCGTTTTGTCATCTAATAATGTCATGCTGGTCATTAGGTGCACAGTTTTCTCTGCTTTCAAAATCTTTCTTTTTGAACCCTTCGACCCAGAACTTGGTAATTATCTGTAGTAATAATTATGTGGAAAACAAATGGGCCTGGAATGATGTTATTTTTAATCAACACCATTGTCCTATATAAATAAGTTATATATAAAGTTGAATTCTTTGAATCGTCATTTTTATGTCATGCCGGCTCACAAATTGGACCTTGTTATTTTAGTATTATATATCTAGATTACTAAGTGCTTGTAGAAACACAATTCCTCATTTTTCAAGCCCCTTTCTTACATGTCTTAACCTCATTTAAATTACAATACCAACTAAAAGCTCCAAGGAGCCTGTGTCGCTCACCTGATATTTTTTTTATTTTACAATTGATGCATGAAATAATGCAACCGATATACTTTTGCTTTAGTTTCAAAGATATAAGTCAAAAACTGCATTTTCCCCCCTATGTTCTATTTTTAAACTAGATACCCAAATGCTTATTATGGCCAAGTTTGGTTAAAATTGTCTCAGTTGTTTCAGGAGAAGACTTTTGTAAAAGATTACAAAAATTTACAAAAAATTGTTAAATTTGACTTTAAAGTGCAATAACTCCTTATGGGGTCAATTGACCATTTTGATCCTGTTGACTTGTTTGTGAATCTTATTTTGCTGAACATTATTGCTGTTTACAGTTTATTTCTATTATAATGTTCAAGATAATAACCAATAAATTGCTTTCCGAGCGCAGCTGGATACGACCATAGAGGTCCAACCCTGAACAGTTGGGGCAAAAATGGACACAATATTCGCGCTTGATACAGGTCTGAATTTGGATTGTAATTCAATATTTGACACATAATAGGTTTCTGACACAGAATAACTGTTGTCAAAGAACTTAGAATTGGTTATATAATTTGAATTTATATTCAAAATTTTGCTTTTGTGCAATACACTATGTTGTTGCGAATTGACCCCCCCCCCCCCCCTTTTTTTCAAAAAAAAAAATTGAAGGATTTTCTTTTTTATTAAGATTTCTGAAATCTTGAGGAGAAAAAATTGCCCCCCCCCCCCCCTTTTCCAAAAAAAACCAATCTTTCCCTCAGTTATGGTCATAATTTCAATTCAAATTTCCAAGTTGTATTTGAATTACCTCCCTTACACTGTAATTTGTACTTAAGTAATTGTCCATTAACCAGGACACCCTTGTTTTTTCTCACTTTTTTGCCCCCAATTCCTAAATGGTTTGAGCCATAACCCCCCAAAGCCAATCCTAACCATCCCTTTGTGGTATGGAAACTTGTAGTATAATTTCAGAGAGATCCATACACTGTTCCACAAGTTATTGTCATGAAACTAGAAAAATGCTTATTTGCGCCCCTAATTCCTAAACTGTTGGGACCATAACCCCCAAAAGCAATCCCAACCTTCCTTTTGTGGTTATAAACCTTATGTTTAAATTTCATAGATTTCTATTTACTAATACTAAAGTTATTGTCCGGAAACCAAGTGTCTTCGTACGACGACAACGTGATACCAATAATTTTTTGCGGTCGTATAAAATTTGAAATAAAATTTCTTAAAATTACCAATTCATGGGCAGCAACCCAACAATGGGTTGTCTGATGCGTCTGAAAATTCAACAGAGATAGATATTCACCTGATGAACATTTTTACCCCATGTCAGATATGCTCTTAATGCTTTGGTTTCAAAGATAGAAGCCAAAAACTGCATTTTACCCCCATGTTCTATTTTTAGCAATTTTGGCCATCTTGGTTGATGGCCAGGGTCAACGGATACATTTTTTAAACTAGATATCCTAAGGATGATTTAGGCCAAGTTTGGTTTTATTTGGCCCAATAGTTTCAGAGAAGATTTTTGTAAAAGTTAACGGACGACGGCAGACGCCAAGTGATGAGAAAAGCTCACTTGGCCCTATTGGACCAGGTGAGCAAAAAATGGTATGTCTATAGCTCTATGCATTCTGTAAACATCTAGTTACAAAATTTGTGATTTATCTTCTATAGGGGTATAAACAAGACTCCAAATGCTCTGCAAATGGTTTATCTGCACTACTTTTTTATTACCTCTGCTGTGGAGGTTAATTTTGGTTGAAATTTGCTATGAAAGCTGGAATTTGTAAACATTTCAGATGAAAATCAAATTGTTCTGAAACTTTTTGGTAATGTTGCAGTTGTTTGTATATACATATATTAATTATAATAGAAGTACAGAGTTCCAATGTCCCCTTTATTGCACATATTTTGTCTATTCAAAGTATAAGGGCAATAACTAAAAAAAGCACTTTTTTATGTTAAAATCCGGCAGCTACAACCATTGACTTCCCTTCCTTTCTTAAACTATCCGGGATTTCTACCAAACTTGGACAGAAGCTTGTTTATGATCATAAGAAAGTATCCAGAAGTAAATTTTGTAAAAAAAATCCTGTTTTTCCGTATTTTACTTATTAATGGACTTAGTTTTTATGCCAGGAAACATTACATTCACTCTGTGGTTAAAGTTTTTAAAATTTTAATAACTTTCTTAAACTATCCTGGATGTTTACCAAACTTGGACAGAAGCTTATTTCTGATGAAAAGCTAGTATCTAGAAGGAAATTTTGTTAAAATTGTGTACCTGTTCATCCGTACTTTACTTATAAATGGACTTAGTCTTTCTTCCAGTTAACATTACATACAGTCTGCAGTAAAAGATTTAAAACATTTATTTGATTCATAAACCATCCTGGATTTTTATCAAACTTGGACAGAAGCTTCTTACAATCAAAAGATAGTATCGAAAGGAATATTTTTATTAATTTCTTTTCTCATTTTTGTTGAGCCTGCAATTAACAGCAAAAGTAGGCGAGACACTGGGTTCTGCGGAACCCTTACGATTTTTTTGAAATTGCCTTGGAATTCAGTATTTTTGTTATACCATTTGGAAATTAAATACTGTAACAAATACATACCAGTTACATTTATATATACTGTAGCTAAAGGATCTCCTCAATATCTAATCCTGTTGTTAATTTCATTAAAACATATAATGTATATAGCTTCCCTTCCACTTACATCTCAGGAGCTAATTCTGAAAATTAAAATTCCTGTGATTATCATATAAAATCTGAACCTGCTGCAGTCTGCTTTCCAATTAGAATAAATTGGGAAAGTTATCCCTTGGTAAAGAGAGAGAAAACAAGTGATATGTTTATATTATAACCAATACTGCACATGGTAATTGGAACATCACTAGTTTTCTGGATTGGATTGTTGCTCACTTTGTAAGGATCTTTTACAGCTGACTATATAGTATGGTTTTGTTCATTGTTGAAGGTCATACAGTGACCTTAAATTTTTTACATTCTCTTTGACTAATGGAATGTTTTCTCATTGACAATCCTACCATACATTGTAAGACCTTATTTATAAAATACTAAAAATTTCAATCTGTGACAATAACAATTTATTCATTTAATAAGGTAATCTGATCAACATTATGAAGCAATGTTCGAAACACTCGTCATTGTCTGACAGCATCAAAGTAATTTTAACTTCTATGACAATGTACAATGATGTATATATGTGCAAGACTCAAAACTAATTATCACAACTAAATTCATACATATATCCATATACATTTACAAGGTACTTAATAAATCAGTGAGACTGATGAATAAAATGTAGGTAAAAAAATATACTTCTGTTGGATCCTGCATCATAATTATTACTAGTTAAATGAAGGCAAGTCATAATCATTGAGTACATGTACATTATATTTGAACTTAAAATAAAGGATAATCTGATTAGTCTCTAATCACTAATGAAGCCACACAACACTGTGTGACAACAGTGACATATAAGTCTCTCATAGATGGTCATACTATTATTTTTATCTTTTGTATATATATCTTTAAGGTTACTTAGAATTGGCTGTTGACATACATGTACACATGGACTGTCAGGCATGGAGTCATTGGACCCTAGGTTACTCCAGTCCATTATCAGTCACTATCAATAGTCAACTCCTCAGTCATTCTTCAGTGATTCCCTATATAATCAACCAAATTTTTCCCACAAAAGGAGGGCCGCCCCTCCCCCCCCTGGAGCCGCCTATGGTAAAATCAAGTTTAACGCAGGCCATGCTTAAAATACAATACAGTTATCTACTTTCTAATGCAGCATATTAAAATAAATACCATTTAACAAATATTTTGGCGTAAAATGAAATAAATGAAAAAGTCCGTGAAACTGTTGCATTGTCTTTAGCAACTAAACAATGCGACGTCATATGCATACTCATGATGTCATACATAAAATTCTAGAAGTACATTTTATTTATACCTTTCAGTGATGTAAGGAATCGAAACGGTATTTGGAAAGCCATAAAATTTACCTCAATTTAGGATAGACTCTTGAATTTTGAGGAGCCAAAATACGATGAACGGATCATATAAACCAGAAGGCAAATATAATACAAGCCCAAACGAAAAAATATAAACAAGTCTAAATTGAAAACAACGTTCAAACCTATGATTGCCTTGGATAACAAACCGCAATTTTTATACGTGTGCATGCAAAACAAATTTCTTGTTAGAGGGGTCTAAATACAGCACAAACAACATTTTCCAAAAGACCAAAAAAGTGAAAAAGTATATTTTAACAAAACGCATTTGACTAACAAGTCGAACAACAAATGTTCCTAAACCCTGCTGACTGCCATTGGCGATTGCTAAATAAACGGATCACCGATGTAATAAATGAATGTTAATTATAAATTTAATACTAAACAGAAAACAATGAACTTGCGGAAAAGATGGTATACCGCAAACAAAAGGTGCAAAGGTTTTATTTCTTGGTTTCCTTAAACTGACCTCATCATGAATATCAACAAATTTTTTACGACTATGCCTCTATTGAAAACAGCATGTCTAAGCCACAGCTTCATAACTGTTATGGCTAGACAAAAAAGAACTAGCGATTAAGAGAGCTTTGAATGCAATTTTCTATAAAAATGACCTGTAAAAAAGTTAAATTTGTCACTTCTAACATGGATAATTTTCGAACTTGCCCACAACATTACAAGAATCAAACTTTAAACTCTATGACCTCAAACTTTTAAAAAAATATCCGAAACTGCATGTACAGAGTCTGACAAGAAAAAATTATTCAAACATAGTTATCATTTTCATAACATACCTCTCATCACAAAATTATTCATTGACTACTACTCCTCATATGCACATAAATCAATAGGACGATCTATGACTCCACTATATAATCTAAAAAGCAATGCCGCAAATGAATTCTGTCCTGTTGCTTAGCTTCTCCTACTTCTCAAAGTAATTGTACTTTCGTTGAAAAAGCTAAAATAAATAATGTTTAATAAGATGAAGTTAGAATACAATGTATCTGCCAAAATTGCCTTTATTATTTTGATCTGGCAAAATTGGCTTGGTTTGATCTTTTAAAACTAGACCAACAAACTTTCCCTGAAAACAAAATGACTACAAAAAAGTATTTAATCATTTTATTAATGTTCTAATCCATCATATAAATTCCATATGACCCTTGAATGAAGGGACGTACAAAAGTGATCATATGTATATATTACAGTATCTCTGAATCTGTCATGATTTATAATGCCAATCTTTGGGGATTAAGTTATTACTAATCATGATACTTTGAAATTTTAAGTTATTCAAAGTCGTTTAAATTACACCAAAAGTTGGACTATTTTATATAAGGTAGTATCTGAGAAATGGACTAAACCAGGCAAGGTTTGGTGGTAAATACATTTGTACTTTGTTTTTGGCTTTGAACTAGGTGTTAGTAACTGGGAGTACTCTCAGATCTGAACTTGGAGTCTTTTTAATTGTGGGGATGTATAAATACCCACCACGTCTTGTGTGTGGTTTTGTAAGATGTCTTTCTACTTTGTATAGATCTGACGAGTTAAGCCCTTTTCACATCAATATACAGGTACCAGGTTAGGAGGTGGGTTCGGCACCACAAACTACTAGTCTAGCCCCACTAGGCTAGGATGAAAATGTTATCCTGCAATTTTTTTTTAATTATAATATCTGTCCTGACAGTTTATTATTCACTCTTTTCGGTCCTGGCTTATATTTCTTTACTCAAAACTCCTGTCCCGCATTTTTTCAAATTCCGTCAAAGCCCACTCTCCCATAAATATCAAATGGTAGCTCCCTAAACAAGAGTGGAGCGATTTTAAAATAATGGGGCGTTTTGCCAATGGCAATGGGGCTAGTTGACTTGCTTCCGTTTTTGCCAATCTTTGACCGATTTTCGGGTTTACATGCATGACATGGATAAAGTCAAATGGTTTTTCGTGAAAAGTATAGCACTAGCATCTTACTATAAATGTGCATGATTATATTTACATTTCATTGCGCTTTCCAAGTACAATAAGTTGGTACGTAATCCATCAAAACGAAACACTTTCGTTGCGTTGACTTTCTAATGTATTGCTTCGTTCCCCGGATTCAGTTAATCTACAGTGTAAGTTACTAACCCATTTCAATATATCTGTTTATAATAACTTTTTGATCCATCAGTTTGAAAAATCAAAGGTCTTTGTATCAACTATCTGACTATCTTTGTCCATTCTTTTTAAACAGTAAAACATGAATTCAGCAGCAGACGAGCGTCCATGGATTTTGCGTCATAGTATAAAAACGGCAACGGTGAAAAGATTTCCGGGTTTCCGTATTCGGCGTGCCAAGCTTTCGTACATTTATGTATAATATATGAGAGTTAGTCTGGAATCAAGAATGGGGATTTAAATAAGGACACAAAAATATATATAGATAGTTGAAAAGCAAAAAAATAGAAGAAGGATCATAGAGAATAATTGAGTATACTTAATTATGAAGAATCATGCAAAGACATTATTCTCAGAGCATATACATGTCTCTGGAAGAATTGAGAACAAAGAAAAACTAAATAAAGAATATTCAATCATTTATATATTATTTATAACTCATTCACATTTTGTTCCATTCAGAATTAAATAACTCTGCTGAGGGGGGCATGGGAAGTTTGGAAAATTGACAAACGATAATTACTCTAATCAGAGAAGAATTAAATGTTAAACAGTTAGAGTGTAATGAATAAAATATAAACATATATTTTTCAAAATGATGTCACAGAAAACACTGATTTTTTATTATTACTAATAAGATTCTGCAATTTGAGTATCTATGTCCAACAGATGTCAACTAGTGAATTAGAAATTTTACTTATCTGATAGACGTTTAGTTAAGAATCTGTGACAAGTTCTTTTGTAATATAATTAGGAAATTGCCTACCGCCTCCTTGATTTAGAATTGCATACTCTTCAAATTTAAGCTAGCCTACACACATAACAGCTAGTTTTGGACTTGATCTTTTTGTCCAAGGTTAAACAATATATTTTGTTTTATAGTTTTCAACTCATGAACTATGCAAATATTTTTAACACTTTCTCCTCATGATATTCGACGAAAAGCTCACCAGATCTTATCTTCACATGTTTGCCAATATGGCGAATCAAAGTTTTACTTACTTAATTTGGCAATTACATGTATACTCAAACCTAGCAGGAAGTTCCTAACTTTATCATTCACAATACTTGTCAGAGTTCACCCATCTATTTTGGAGGTTCGTGTTGCACATAAAGGCGGATTTAGAGCACCCTGCCCCTCCCCTTTTTGTGGGAAAAATTTGATCTATTATATCGGGAATCACTGATGCATGACTAGGGAGGCCCCCTCTTTAGCAGTCAGTGGGACCCCTTATGAAAATTTCTGGATCCGTCAATGGCACAATCTTTAGTTTTTGTGTAATGTTAAGCACAACGGTTACTGAAGATTTCTGTCCAGTTTTTCATACCAAGGTTGTTTGGGTATCACAGTTTTAAAATGTTATCACCGTTGATCCAATAAACAAATCCTTCGTTGATGTATTCTTAAACAACTTCTTTCCAGTAGTACCCTCACAATGGTATTAATGACATTAATGCCTCCAACCTGGGACTATTATCGAGACTATTTTACAATAGTCCCAGCTCCAACACTGATTGATATTTATGTTCCCCTTAAAAATAGAATAGAGAAATTGAGGACATTTGTTCCACATTTTATGAACTTTGAAAGAACACAAGCACATGTAACTTTTGACACCGCCTGCGGGCAAGTGCATGCAGGACACTGATGTGGTGGCACTTGGGTGGTGGTAGGTTTATAACCGCCGTTACAGTAAACCCCTCTCAACCCACCAAATGCTTGCTTGAAACACAAGTAAAATATAAGCAGGTAAGTATGTCCTTTGCTTTTATTCCACACCAAAGATGAAGAAATGTATGATAAAGTTATAATGGTATATTATTCTGTACATTGTGAAAGCCTTAAAATTAAAGGGACATGTATGTAGTGACTATTGTTTGTCGTGATTTAAACACGATAACAGTGTTGCTTTCCCCTTTATCTTATGAGCCGTATTGAACAGGACAGACTACCCCAAACACTCTGAAACTTTTCAAGTACTTTCTATATGCTCATGTGTATTATCTTGTTAGCATAGTTTTGTACTTGGACAGATAATCAGAATGGTCAACAATCAAGTATTGACAATGTTAATTGGTCACGTTTGTTTGAACTACCAAAAGGTAATTTTTAAATTTTCACTTGTACAATCCAATGTCAATGTTACATACAATCAGTCATTTTTGTAACACAAGGGTTACAAATAAGAAAATACTAAATAAAATATGCAAATGTATAATTTAGTTCCATAACTGTATGAAGCACTTAAGACTTAAATATATCTACTGGGTGTATCTGTCTGTCTTTTGTCCAAGATAGTTGGCAGATACATAGGAATAAAAAGAGATGTATGAGGTTATTGTAACACACCTTTGAGAAAGTTATTCAAACAATAATAACAAAAACACAACACAACATATCTAGATATTCCAAGTTCTAAATCATTTTTTTTCAAAGTGGTGAAGATCAAAAGATCTGCCATTAACACCAAATTCTCCCAATATAAACGCATACTTCTTTTACCTGTGTATATGTATTAAAAGAAGTACCAATGAAAATCTTAATTAAAATAAATGTTTAAAGATTAAACTTTTAATTGTTCAAATAAGAAGAAGATTTTATGGGGGAAGGGGGATGATTCACAGAATCCCCTGGCCTACTCCCTTTAGGAATTATATATAGAGAGAGACTTTTTACAAGTCTAGTCTCACTTTTTTTCAGGATCCTGGACCCATATCTGACAATTATTGCAACTTTATTTTTACTTTGCCTTTTTTTTCCTGCGATTATTTTTCTAAGCAGATTGAATAAAATACCATTTTTTATGGTGACAATTAAGGATAATCAGTGGCTGATCCAGCCATTTTTAAAAGGGGGAGCATCCCAACACAGGATAAAAGGGGGGTTCCAATTATATTTCCCCATTTAAATGCATTGATCATTCTAAAAAAGGGGGGTTTCGTGTGAAAATAAATTTTTTAAAAGTAAAATAAGATTTTCAATGGAATATATGTCTTACAAGGTATTAGATGTTAATAAACAAGTTTTAATTTTGATGTTAATTTTTTTCAACTTGGACACAATTAACTTTTTTTCATGTGAATTTCACATGAAAAGTTTAACGTAAAATTCACGTGAAAAATTTAACTTGAATTCACATCAACAAAATTTGCCTGTGTAACACATGCGTTACACATGCGTTTGACTATACATGTGTTACACCTGCAAATATCGCATGTGTCACACACGTTTTCCAACACATGCGTGACACAGGTGTTTTTCTGACACATGCGATTCACATGCGTGTGTAACGCATGTGAACGCATGTGTACCACGCATGATTCACATGCGTGGCAAGAAACATGTGTATTACGCATGTGACACACCTGTGACACATGCGTTTTTAGGTACATGCGTGACACATGTGTGGCATTTTTGCCCTAGTACTGCCCACCAGGGACCATCATATGAAGCTAAAAAAAATGTATATGCTGTCATTAACGAGACAAAATTAAAATATTTAAAAATACATACCAGGACCTAAAATTCTAGGTCTGTTACATCTTTCTCTGTATACATTTACTCTAAAAGTTACGTCAAATAAGCAAGTATAATTTTGTTGGGACCTACACATGGATTTTGCCCGAATATTCCAGTGTGCCGATGATGGACAGGTAAAGTTGTATGCGTCATTTAGGGATAATATCTACAAAAAGATAAATGCATATTCATCAATTATTTAAGCAAGTATTCTATCAACATTGTATTTTGTCAACACAGACGCACATAGGCGATGGTTTGTAAGCACGTAAAGAAACTCACCAAAAAACACCAGCCTTAGTAGTGTGTACGCAGACACGCGTTTAGTCTAATTAAGACTCACCAGTAAGACTCGATTATCACGAAAAAGACGGGTTTCCACGAAATGCGCATCTGGTGCACAAGATTGAGTACCGTTAATGTCAGATAAGGCAAGATGATCCGGGGGTAGAAAAAAGCCTTAGTGTTTTGAGAAGTTTAATATGTTATATACAGACAATTAAAGCAAACGCAACCGAGTTACGATGAAGAATGACTGACTTTAGAGAATGAACATCGGTAAACTATTGTTGCCTTTCATTTGCAGCCTTTTCAACTCTTACATAATTTTCTTTTGAATCATTATTCTCACAGTGGAAGTGTTAAGAAAATTGACCTAGACACATATCTGAAATGTATAGAAGATAATATATTCGCTACTGAATATGACTGTGAAATTTCTTGGAGTTCATCTGAAATTCAAGGATCAGATTTCTTTCTTTGTTGTTGTTGTTGTTGTTGTTGTTAAACCTCGTTTCATTTCAGTTAAAGCAACTAAAGATAAAGGACGATCACGACGGAATAGATTACCATAAAAACTTATGTCTGATGATGTGATGGCCACAAATAAATTGAATTGGACAATTTAATTGACTCAATCCAGTTGAATACCATTTGATTTTGAACGGTGTTCTTGAGTGGTTGTTCAGAAAACAATGCAACTGAAGTTACATTACAATAACGTCATTTGACAATATCGTGTTGGTCCTAAGTTAGTGAAATAGTATTAGTGAAATCTTTCAATAAGTAAAATCTTTTGATATGTATATGATCAGGCCTAGTGTAAAGCTTGGAACATTTTTGTGGCCTAACACTGCTGAAAGTTCAATTACTTGTTATAGATACATTGTAATTTGATACGGACAATACAATTCCGGGAGGAGAATCTGTGACGCACTGGTGGTGTAAAGAAATATCTGCTCGTAAACCAAGCAACAATCCCTGATAATTTGAGACTGTTTGTGAACACGGGTATATATGCATAGGACGAAATGCCGTGCTCGCACAGTCATATATTCGCATTGAATGAACCATGCAAAACAACATAACGGACATATGAACTAAAGTTAAAAGATTTGATGGTTAAATACTGAAAAGTAAATGTAATACTGAGATGTATTGGTTTCAAACTTTACATTTCTGTCATTAGGGAACCATTAAATCGGGGTAGAATCGTTATTTGGAATATGATTCAAAATGTGTACGACCATTTAAGGCCATTTGGTGTAATAACATACATCTTACATAGTCTATCAGAATTATTCGCCTTGCACATATGTTATCTAACAGATATTTCGATGTGCCCCGTTATTGTTTAAACGCTTATAATGTTTTTATGCAAGCTTCAGTATGACAGTACATGTTTGATTTCTTTGCCAGATTTATTTTATAGATATTACTCCATAGCTTTGTTCTTCAATTTAAAGTTGTGGCGTGATCGTCAGTTTGCAAAGATTCCATTCAAACTTGTGCTAGTGGCGTCTTAATCTTGCAGTGAAATAAGAGTGGTTTTGCTCCTTGTAAAAGGCCTTACTGTGACTTTGAGATGACGAACAGCAATAACGGCGTTGTTTTTTTTTTTGCTGTGCATGTACTGATTTTGTGTCACCGATGGATTATCCCACATCTTTTTTGTTAGTTTCTACTACGTTAAACTGAACATATGTACGAAATTTAATTTTGATGTGACAACTGTATGGTAAATTTCCTTATTCCGAAACAAGAAGGAGACACAGAAACGAAAACAGAGGTGTCAGATTTAAATCATACATACCTGAAGGAAAGTCAGGAGGATGAATATGTCCATGATTTTTTATTTTTCATTTATAATCTATGCCATCTAAAAAGATAAACATTAAACAAATCTAAGGTTAATAAATTGACCAGAAACTGTGCATTACAATGCTTAATAATCCAATCTTTGGTTTTATAATATTGTATATTATTGATGCACGGTTGGTCAGTGTCAAGATGTTTGTTATATTTTCATTTCCTAGTAAATATATCTTCAAGTTATTATAATCAAGAAGACAGATGTCCTTAATTCTAAACATACATGTCCACATCAGACAAATTATATATTAATAATAGAAGCATCAAATACAATGTTGAAATTATTTGATGTACAATACTTGAGATATAACACTTCTAGTGCTCACAATGTCTTATATTTATTATTTATCAATAAATAGATAACAAACAGACGATGACAAAATTCACTTAACGATTTAACATCAGCACTGTTTTTTTTTTCTATTTGGTATTCTATAATTAGCACCAAAAATGTTATTTTCCTTCTTTTTTTTTTAATGGATTATGTAATCAGCATCAAAAATGTTATTTTATTTTTTTTCTTTTTATTTGATATTGCATGTGTATAACAATAATAAACAATACATTTTAATAATAATGACTTTATTTACAGAAGATGACTCAATTAGCATTTACTAATCTAACTTGAGATCCTCACAAAAAACATAAAGAAAAATTAATTGTTTGCAACGGTTAAAACTTGTATTAAAAATATAGAGATTTATTGTGGAAGCATGTTCACAATCGCAGAATAAACACATTAAAGATGATAATCTCCTATCTTCATGCTGGACCTTCATAGAACTTATTAATTATGAGGAACGGTACATAATCGGATCGTTTGGATATGTTACTTTTCCCAATTGTTTACAACCATGCGTTCTAGAGTGAGCTGTCTGGAGATTTGTAGAAAAAAAAGAAAGGTCTTTCATCTTATGTTTATATAGGCCTAAAGATATGAAATATAGGACAGGTAAATATTTCATTAGAGAAATAGTGAACAAAATTACACATTATAGCATAAAATATGTTCACGTGTGGCATTTAATTTGAAACCTAGAATTCCTACCTCGAACATGAAGTCCTTCAGATGAATTTATGTTATTTATTGTTTCTTTTTTTTAATTAACTGTTTCTCAGTCTCAAACTGTCAACGACAACTCATTTGCAACAAACTAAGTTGTTGGTTTATTATAACAAATAACCTAAAAGTATTGTCAATAGACTCTATATACGTTTTAAAAATTGGCCAGGTATGACGAACAAAACCGGTTTGAAATACACATTTTAAACTTTACTATTTACCATAGTATTAATAAACTCTTATCATTATAACAAAAGAAGCGTTGAACTGTGATCTTTTCATTGAGTCGATTTGAAAAATTGTATTGATCTTTATGTATACACACGTCTTGTATTTTTAAATGCATTAAGCAAACATATTTTGTTCTGTCTTTATCAATCTTAACAAAAGAATAACGATTTTTAATTCTTGTTTATGATCACGTATCATGATTTTCACGTTGATTTTATTTTATAATACAAGTACATAAATTATGAAAACAACTTGCACTCTTTGTATTCCTTTCATTGATATTTCTCATTTTTTTTTAAAATGTTTTTCGAAAAGAAAGTCAGTATTAGAAATTATATAAAGGGTACAAAGTAAAAAATGTATCAATAACGTCGCCAGAAAAATTAATCGTTTTTTTTTTTGTTAGTCATATTAACAGTATCAATTTATTAGCACATTCGAAAAGTTCGTTATTAACAAATTTTACATCAATTTTCTCAAAATCACAAATAGGATTTAGAAAATGAACGTGATCAATACTGTCTTTTTGTGATAATTTGATGTATTTCTAATCATCAGTGATTTTCAACCTTTTCTTTCTTAAAGAATAAACGATTTGATCAATACTGTCTTTTTGTGATAATTTGATGTATTTCTAATCATCAGTGATTTTCAACCTTTTCTTTCTTAAAGAATAAACGATTCACATCTTGCAAGTGACAACGGTAATCCTGCTTTGTTATTTAATGGTAGAATTTTTAAACAATATTTGAATAAATTGCAAAGAGTTTAATTGTCTTTACTTGGTTTCGACACATTTGAGACTAACCTGAGGACATTTACAATCAAATAAATTTTTCAAGATTGATTTAAGATATTTAATGAAATCGTAATATTGTATTTTGTTTGTGGTTACATTTCAAAGATATTAACATTATTTTTTTTAAGATTGGTAAAACGTAGGATGACAATATTTACTAAACTAAGTTTGCTAACCTGAAACTACTTGATCCATTTACAAATGTAAATAAAACAAAGATGATGAAATAAATGCTATATGTTGTCCATTTTGAGTTATTGGCTTGAAAGTACAGAGTGTGTATTGTGCAATTTCATCACATATTCGTCATTATGTGAAATTTTATTTGATATAACTTCCATTTTAACACAACGGATACTGCATTTGAACTTGAAAGTGATAGTTGTGATTCATTTGGACACAACACACCCCAATGTTTATAATTGTTTTATGTATATATGTGTACCTTATATTGTGACATATTTTAAATAACTTGTTGTATTTAAAATAAACATTTAAACAAGATACCTGATATTTTTCAATAGAAAACTAACAGACCATGCAAATGATATTTGAACTAAAACTTAAAGTCTTTTTTTTAACATTGACCCTAATAAGAATTGTAAAATCGTAGTTTAACAATTCGAGTTAAGGTACTGAATTTAAACTTTAAAAGATGATTTAAAAATCGTGTTCAGTATTTTTTATTTAAGTAAACTTTGGAATGAATGCATACGGAACGATAATGTTCATTATTTATAATCCAAACAAAGGAGTAATGACCTTGCATGTTGAAAACAGATCATGTTCTATTTTGTGTAAAATAAATGAATTTTCTTTTTAAAATGTGTTTAAAACTACAGTAGTCAAAATCAGAAAACAAACTATGGATAAGAAATGACCAAAGTTTGCCAACAGGGATACAGACATACCTGTGATCACAGATACAGTACTGGATTTTAGTAGTAACAGTCTACTGGCAAAAAGGTCATATATACAGTCGTTTTTACAAAATTTGAACATCGGATAAATACTGTCGTCTTTTATTCATAAATACTTATGATAGAAATTGTATCATAAGTTTTTGAACGGAAACGAAATAAAGTGCCAGTTTCTAATAATTCAAGGACCATACTCCTGAACGGTAAAAAACCTAAATCGTATATATTGAACTTAAACTCCATTTTGTCATCAGTATAAACATTACAATTTGAAAAGCATTGGTTGAACGGTTCATAAGCCAATGTACGGACGCTGTTGGCAGCCGCCAGTTTCCAATAGATCAAGGGACATACGGTAACTACTGAACTGTAAAAGTAAAAATCTTCTACATTGAATTTGACCTCAATTTTGTCATTAATATTAACACATCAAAATTTGAAAATCAATGGTTGAACGGTTCATAAGTTATTGTAGGGAAACTATTGGAAGCCGTCCGCCCGTTTTTCTTTCCGAAAAACCCCAGTTTAACTTAGGTTTTTAAGATAGATAAAACGTAGAATAACCATGTTTAGTAAACTAAATATGCTTACCTGAAACTACTTGATCCAGAGTTAAACGAGACAAAGATGATGAAACGAATGCTTTATGTTATCCATTATAAGTTATTGACTTGAAAGTACAGAGTGTCCATTGTTCAGTATCATCCCATATTCATCATTGTAGTGAAATGTTATTTGATATTACTTCCATTCAAACACAACAGATGCAGCATTTGAACTTTAAAATGATATTTTGTGATTCATTTTGACAAACCCCAAAATTTATAAGTGTATGCTGTACCTTACATTGCGACTGATTTATAATAACTTGTTGTATTTTAAATCAAAAATTTAGACAGGATACCTGATATTTTTCAATAGAAAACTGACAGACCATGAAAATGATCTTCTAAAGTTTGAAGTTTGGTATTTAACATTAACCTAAATTAGAATTGCAAAACTGTATTTAAAAAACGTATAGATTTTGAAGTTTGAATGTTTTTATTTTTTTAGTAAAGGAAACTTTTGAATGAATGCATAAGGAACAATAATGTCCATTATCTATGATTCCAACGAAAGAGTCATGAGCTCACATTTGAAAACAGATCATGTTCTAGTTTGTGTAAAATAAAAGATTGTTTTTTAAAGTTTAAAACTACCCCTAGCAGGCACCCGATGTTGTACAAACGTTGATGTTTGGTTGAAAATAGGTCGTAACATCGCCGACCTGAATTCAAAGTCGGCTGACAAACGTCATTCTGACGTTATAGAAAGATGTCTACATACCCTTGATTTTTGATCGCGACCTTATACATTATTACACAACGCCAACACAACGTCGGATGCCATATGTCGGTCGGACATCTAAATAATTTAAAATATTGAAATCACACGTACATAAAAATAAAGTTTTAAATTATATATTATCCTTTCATATTAATATTTATATATATGTATCCTATTGTTATCTAAAATAATAATGAACATTAAAATAAAGTTTAATATAGCCCTCTACTAAGATAAATAACGTCACTGAAAAAAGGCTTGTTCGACGTTAATAGGTCAACTCGGACCGTCAATATTCATTTACTCATACAGCTTTTAAACTTTTAAAATCTATAAACGAACAAATTTAGAAAAGTTTGTTATAAATCATGTCAGTACCGAAGTACTGACTACTGAGCTGACGATACCCTCGGGGACTGATAGTCCACCAGCAGAGGTATCGACCCAGTGATGTAAAAAATTGGAAACAACACGTTTAATAATTACATGCGCCCGAAGCGCTTTTTTTCTGGATTTACCTTCATCAGGAACGCTCAATGCCAAACATTTGAAAACCGAGGGATGTATAAGTACCGAAACAGTTGAAGAGCTATATGACAAAAACACCCAAAACAAATAGCCAAATTCATATAAGGTCAACTTTGCCTGAGGGAGTTGAAACCTTAGTTTCTTTATAATTTTAAAATTTATAAACGGACAAATTTAGAAAAGTTTGTTATAAATCATGTCAGCACCGAAGTAATGACTACTGAGCTGACGATACCATCGGGGACTGATAGTCCACAAGCAGAGGTATCGACCCGGTGATGTAAAAAATTGGAAACAACACGTTTAATAATTGTATGCGTTCGAAGCGCTTTTCTGGATTTACCTTCATCAGGAACGCTCAATGCCAAACATTTGGAAATCGAAGGATGTATAAGTACCGAAACAGTTGAAGAGATATATGACAAAAATACCTAAAACAAATAGCCAAATTCATCTAAGGTCAACTTTGCCTGAGGGAGCTGAAACCTTAGTTTCTTTATAATTTCAAAATTTCTCCTTTTATACTTTGTCTGAATTTGCATGATAGACGATCCGAGTTTAATTGAAAAACGGTCCGAGTTGAATTGATAGACGGTCCGAGTTGAATTGATTGACAGTCCAAGTTGAATTGATAGACGGTTCGAATAGACTTTATGATCAGTCCGATTTGAATTGATAGACGGTCCGAGTTGAATTGATAGACGGTCCGAGTTGACTTATTGACGGAGTACGAGTTGTCGCGCACCCGCTGTTTACCTGTACAAAAATGTAATGTATCCCTATTTTTTCGATAGACCTTTTCACTAACTGAGAAACTGCGGCACTTGATGAGAAATTGAGACACGCAAACTTTCGGCTTCACCATGTTTATACAACAATCACTTTAATTTTCGGCGTCCGACATTTTCTCTACCATGTTATGTGCAGGTGTTCTTGTGACATCAAAGTTTAACAGGAACATGCGTGATATCAAGGTAGTGTTTTTATCTTTATTTGAACCTCAAGTATATACACCAAATAGGAATACATGCTTTTGTTATTCTGTAATGTATTACATAGCAGAACAACATGTCAGAAGCTCATAAGAATAGATGTTAAAAATGATGAGTATACATAAATTGTACGGTTTTTTTCTTGCATGAAATCAATCTTTTTTTATTAAACACTTATACTAAATTCATTCCAATGTCTGAAGGGAGAATGTATATTTGTGTATATACTTTTTACAATTAAAATCAGCGGTCATTGGTCAGTCACCGATCAGTAAAGTGTGCGTCATATTCACGTCACAAATCCGTCAGACTTATAATAAAAAAAATGACTAAATGGACTGATCGGAATGATTGAACTTTCTACGTCACATTTGGAACTCATACAAATTACAGAATCTAAGTCTCGTTTCTTTTAATTAAAATGGCGCCACAGAAAATACGACTCGTTCAAGCACGAAAGCTTGACATTTTATTAATAACCATTCAGCAAAGTTTTACGATTTTGTTAGAAGAGAAGAGAAATATGCAGATAAAACAATAATTTAAAGATTATTAAAGAATTGTGATTGTCGTTTATATTTAGGTTTTTTTTTTCAAACGCGATAAGTGCTAAACTGGTGTTTATCGCGATTGTTCTTAAAAAAAACAACCCACTGCATTCCATATATTATTGTATTAATAAACCTTGTATAAGGTTCCATTTTAAGGGTATATTCTAGAAGAATTTATTTCTTCATATCCATGACAGCATCGAATGGTTTTATGATGTACATGAAAAATGATATTTCGTTTATGTGGCAATATAAATTCATGAGTAAATGACTTATGAAGTTTTCTACTACTCAGACTATATAATACTTCACCAGTGTCTGAGCAAAGTTGTTGAACCAGGATTATGTCAAAGAACGTCTCTTTTTTTCTAAAAAAAGTTCATCGGGAGATACCAAGACCTTCATGACCTTGTTGATAAAAATATTCAGTAGCAACTTCACAAATAATACACGATGGCATTGACGTATAGATTCTAGGTACTGACGTTGTTTATCAATTTTAAATACGTGTTATAGTCTTCTTTTATTTGTCTTTGTAAATTATTACATTTAATTTTTGGGTAATATGGTAAACTTTTGTATTCTTTTTTTGCCTATGTGCTTTATATGCCTTTTAGTTTTTTGTTTTTATTTGTTTTTTTTTTATAGTGATTAAGGTTATAGCACAATGTTGACTGATGTACCGCATTTTTTGACATTTTTACCTAGTGTCTTTGTTTTGTTCACACAATGTAGTCAAAAAAATGGATTTTTTTTTGCGACTGTCATACAAGTGAGAAGTTTAGCTAGCTATAAACCATGTTTATCCACCATTTTCTACATAAGAATATGCCTGTACCACGGCAAGAATATGACTGTTGTTACAATTTGTGTGATGTGGTTGAGCTTTTGATTAGTGACTTTCCATTTTGGAATTTTTTCGAAGTTCGGTATTTTTGTTAGTTTACTTGATATATACTCTTTGTTTTGACGCAAGCGTTAAACGACAGTTATAACCTTTTTTTAAAGAAAGATAACAAATAGTTTAATACATAATGAAAACGTGATCTATACAAAATCAAAAAAGCTGTATACATTGCTTATGCCTATGTTCGTTTTTTTCAAACTTGATTGTTTATCAAAATTGTGCAAAATAATCTTTCAAATCATTCAGCTAATGATTCACGTTTCAAACATTTTTACAAGAAGAAATCAATATATATTCTAAAATTGTATAACGAAACAAATCTTTACACATGCCTAACCATTTAAAACACCTGCATTGTATGATCATTGGAAAATTGTTCTGAAGGAAAATGTTTACATTCTCTCATTCTTTTTGTCCGAATATATTAATTTCAAAGTTTGAGATTTTGAATAAAGATACACGACTTAAATATCACATTCCGTAACTTAAAAATTAAAAAAAAGATATTTTACACGAAATTTTCCTTGTGTAAATGTTAAGGTAAAATGTAGACGTATTCAAGACTTTGATTATTTCAATTTCAATAGTTACAAAAAGTATTTAAAAAATCTTTCTCTACTTTTTGTGCTTTTTTCACATTTCCTGATCGGTGTGAGAAAAATATTTTTCCTCACTAGTGAAAAATCTGTTCTCGGCAAATGATTGGTCGAAATTTAATTATAACGTCAAATTTTCTTGGTTTCTTCTGAATTTCCTATTGTGACGTCATGAAAAAAGGGGACCATGCCTGATGACGTCACATATAAGGAACACAGCTTTCTGCAACTCTTTGAAAAGGAATGCTAAAAATCATTAGAGAAACAGATTCCACCACTCTAACTCGTGCATGCTCTCCTTTTTATAAGCCTTTTTTTCATTTCTGAACACTATAATATTCCGGAGACATACGGAAGGTTTAATTGTGAGTGTTGTTCATACATTGTTGTCAATATAATGGAATTTTATGCGACTGTCTTACAAGTTAGAGGTTAATATAGCTATAAAATGCCTCTACAAAGTCAGGAATATGACAGTTGTTATCTCTTCGTTTGATGTGTTTGAGCTTTTGATTTTGTCATTTAAATAGGGCCTTTCCGTTTGGATTTTCCTCTGGGTTCAGGTTTTTTTTTTTTTTTTTTTTTTTTTTTTTTTTATTTTACACCCCCAAGGGTGACTGGGGAATAGAAGTATGGTCACCATTGGTCTTCCTCCGACCGGCAGTAAAACCCTTGCTAAAGTGGGGCGTCCGTTTGGCTGTGCGGGATGTACAAATTTGCAGCCACGTCCGGTCAGAATGGGGACGTTAAATCCGATGCCTCGTGTAAAGAGAGTGTCACGCTCTTTGCACGTTAAGAACCCTTGCAACAACTCTTCGAGGGGTCCGTAGGTGACCTGCTGCAAGGCTAAATTTCTGTCCCTATCCAATATACCCTCATTTCCCGTGGCAGTCTAAATTTCTCCGACCTTGATCCCTGACGCCCGTATTACAGAACCTACCTATTGTGTTTATTGTTAATTTGTTCTCGTCCTGAATATGCATGAAATATTTGCCACT